AAGAAAGAAAGAAAGAAAGAAAGAAAGAAAGCGGGAGGGAGGGGGAGGGAAGGGAGAAAGAGAGAAAGGAAGGGAAAGTGATGGAGGGATGGAGGGATAGAGGGAGGGAGGGAGGGAGAGAGAGAAAAGTATGATTTCGATAGGCCATATACTAAAATCAATTTGCAAAATATTGTACTGATAAAAAGGGTACGTAAGAGTAATGTAAAGTTATTACCTATGCATCAGACACAACAAACAGTCAACAGAGAATGGATTGTCTGACAGCTACATTACATTTGATGGCAATCAGCAGAAGTAATCAGACCAGCAAAGACTGGAATTCTGCTTGTTCACTGGTAAATCAAACAGCTGATTTGTCATTCTTTGCAAATACAGCCACTTATCAGATAATTTTTTATTTCAACTCAGACTTTCATATCTTACTCTGCTAATAAAAAACATGTTGTGTTGGGGGAGGATATAACAAGCCAGTTGTCTGACTATACTGAAGAAAGTAAATTTCAGTAAATGAGAAACAAAAATTATGCAAGCAGTTAAAACAGGGTGTGAATTCATATGCCGCCCTGTGGTGTTTCAACAATGAGATGAGGAGCATAAAAATTTAATTAATCAATAAAAATAAAATTGGTGTTCTAGGATGATCTTGTCATAATTTTCCTGTAATATTTAAAATGCAAGTTTAGGATTCTCTGTTTCATATATAATCTAATATAACCATTTCAAGACTTACAAGGACATTCCCATTCAGGACAGCAGTTGTCGCTGTTGATCTGAACTGGCATCCCTCGAAAACCACAGTCAGGTTTTTTCACATTCTTATAGCAGTTCCTTGAAATATTGTACAGCATCCATTCCATGTTAATGCAGACATACTGGCTACATTTGTCTATAGGATCAAGGTATCTTGGCTTTTCCATGATGGGCAAAAAAATTTAAGACATTGACATATGATGAAACATTTTGTGTACCAAAATCAGCAGGCTTTTTAAGTATAAAAATGTGATTATGTACCTACTGAAATCCTGACTATTGCAGTCTAAATGTTTTTATAAATATTTACCATAAAACCTTAGATATATGTAGGTTTATATCTTTTGGATGACCACAGATATGATCCTTTTGGTCGGCATGTGATGGTTAACTATGATCTAACAACACTAATTTTATTAGTCATGATGGTTATAAGGTAAATGTGCTATTAGGGGATAATAATAAAGGATGTATTTACCACAGAACCATTTTAAAATTAACCAATATGCACACACATCTTGAGAGCCAGTTGCTCCTTGGAAGAGCTTTATAGCTCTCGCTGCCTTAAGAAAGTTCAAAACATTCTTAAAGATCCACCTCATCCTATGCACCCTTTTTTAAAAAATTATTACCATCTAGCTGATGGTACATGACAATAAAAACAAGGATAAATAGGCTGGAAAAACTGGAAATCTCTCCAATAAAACAGGTATTATTGATATTTTTAAAATATAGAAGTAAAAAGTAAAACAAAAAAGAAAGCAAAAATATACTTACCATGCATTCTGAAGATGCCACAGATACAAGTGTATGTATTATTGTGCCAAATGAAGGGTGTTCATCACTCTTTGTTGTCATTTCAACTTCAGCCTCTGTGGATTGGGTTTCCACAAGTTTTGCAGTGACTTGAGACGAATCTGTTATTGTGAAATTCTGTGAGCTGATGATACTTACTTCCTCTGGTTTATTCACACCATAGTAAGGTTTTGTTGATGGAATCCTAGACCAATCAAATGTTATATTTGTCACCTCAGAAGAAGTAACTGGTTTTACTGAAGTTGTGCTGCTTTGACTAGAAGACACAGCTAACTGAACAGGTAGTAAAGATGGCTTTTCAGACCTTGCATACTTTGTGATGTTTTCCTCTGAGGTTTTATTACTTTTTAAGGCATACAATGTGCTTGTTATATTTTGAAATTTTGAAGCCTGGATTATTTCTGTTTTGACCCAGTCTGAAACTTTATCCATTTCTAAGGGCTTGGTTTGTAGACAGTCTTTGCATGGTTTAGGTGTAAAGACAGAAACATTTGGAACATAAATGGATGCTTGGGAGACAGCAGGAACAGGGATTGAAGTAGTAGTTGTGTGAAAATCAAAATGTATAGGAGAAAATTCAGTGACTTCAGCAATTTTGTGAGGAGCTATTGTGCCAGCAGAAGAAACTGAGGGGCTGGTTGAGTACTTTTCAATAATATCTTGAGGAGTTGATGTAACATTCCAAAGTTTGCCCAGAGTCAAAGTTGATTCTATTGCTGGTTCTACAGACTGGACATCTGTTAAGGATGATAAAGTTCTGCTATCCGTTGAAGAAGTCAAAGAAGGCCTTCTTGTTCCCAAATATATGGCTGATTCATCAAAAGTAGTTAAAGAAACTGAAGACATAGTATGTATAGTGGAAAGATTTGTAATTAAAGTTGAGTTTGTTGAGCTCAAATCATCATTTAGTGATATAGCAGGCATTTTTATATCAGTGCTAGTTGATGCTACAGCAGAAGTGATAGAAACTGATGATAAATTTCCAGAATGTGATGCTGTAACAGAAATCTGAGGAGTAGAAGCTGTTATTGTCAACATTTTAGAAGAGGTTTTTGAAGATGAAGTAGTAAAAGTATCAACATTTTTAACTATTGATGCAATTTCTGATTCTGGATATGAACCAAATGGTTCATAAGTTATTTGTGCTTCATCCTGTGAAATCTTAATAGGAATACTGCTTGGCACCCTAGTATCAGCAAACTCTGACAAAGTTATAAAGTCAGTTGGAATTGGAGTTGAATCTGCATGCAACACATGTTTACTTTCTGCTGAAACTGAACTTGTCTCAGATGATTTGGTAGTCTGAAGAACTGCTAGGAGAGAAACTGTAGAAGGTCTTAAATGAAAGCTCTTTGAAATAAGTGTCACTTCCCCAGTACCTTTGGGCCTTTGAGATGTAATTGGAGGAGGCATTAATGTTGATGTTGTATGGGTTAGTTGGAGACTAAAAGATGATTTTATGGGAAAAGGACTTTGTGTCACAACTGAAGTTGTTTTACAAATTACATCAGAAAAATGTTTTGTGGTTAAGGAAGCAATATGTTCAGAAGGTGTCAGAGGTGCTTTTTGTGATGATACAGATATAGGTGTTAATGTTTTATTTATCAATTTCAAATCTGATTGAATAGTTTCTGAATCTGAAGTACTATGAAGAGGATTTGATACAAATGAAGTAAAACTAGTAGATGATTCGGGAATTGGAGACATAGTTGTTGTAAATGTAGACAGATAAGAACTAATTCCAGAAGTTACAGCAAATGTTTGTGTTAAAGGTAAATCTGTCAGTACTGTGGAAGTTGGAAGAGTTCTAGCTACCACCGAAGAAGGAACTGCAATTTCCAATAGTGTCGTTGACTTAGTTAGTAAAGGAAAAGCAGTCACTGATGGTAGAGCAGTAAGTGCAGGATTACTTGATGAAGAGAAATTATAAGTTTTATTGTAGGATATTGTTTTTACAGTAACTATTGGAGCTTCATAAGTAGTTGGGAAAGTTGTTGACAGAGATCTAAACAGCATAGGTGGGGTGGTTGTTTTGTAGCTGTCTTCAGATAATAATTCTGAACTTGGTGACAAATCAGGTAAATGCATGATTGAATGAGATACAATTGTTGAATAAGCATCTTTGGCAGTTGTTGGTTCAGTTGTGATTTTGGTATATAAGTTAACATAGGTTGGCTCAGTCTCTTCAATAACCAATGTAATTGGCATTTGAGAAAATGTTTCTGATATATTTGTTATCTGGGAACTTAACATTGTAGGGTTTGTTATAACTGGTTTGGTTCCAAATGAAGATTCTGCTGGTTTCACAGCAATACCTGTGGGGAAAAAAGTCTTACTTCATATGATTTTGAAAAAAAAAAATGTAAAGTGAGAATTGTGTCACTATCCCAATGCTATAGGCAGAAATCAGTGCTAATTTTCATGAACAGTATACCTACTCTCTTAGAGAATAGATTCAGAAGCGCTCTGTGAGTCTGATGGATAGTGTTTAAATTTGATAAATAAAAGTAGAGAAAAGCTTCATAAATGTTTCCTATTATTATTATTATTAGAAGTAGTAGTAGTAGTAACATATTATAAGCAAATAATGATGCAATCTGAAATGACAAATGTTATAGAGCCTTGTACTTCTGGAATGGCATCGATACTATGAAACCTCTGCTCCTTGAAATCCCTCAATGTTTTTTGGTTGGTTAATTATTTTATCTATGATTTAATTTAGAGTACTGCATATTTTTATTAATATGCAATTGTATTCTGGATGGAATATTTTTTGCTATAATTGTAACCCACTGAGATTCTCCTAATTACCCCCCCCCCCAAAAAAAAAGAATGAATGAATAATGAATAAAGGACACTTACAATCTTCTGGATAAACACATTTAAGTGTGACTTCATCTAGGATCATAGCTTTTGGACAAAATGGTAAGCATCCTTCAACCCTACAATAAAAGATTCAAGAAAAATACATATGCAAGCAATTCTTTTGCCTATATAAATTATCCAGAATTCAAAATTCCTGAATGTGACTTAGAATTATTACTCTACAAAAGTTCTAACAGTAAAAAAAGCCAACTTAATATTATTTGTAGACAATTCAAGTGAAAAAATAATACTGAATGTTACAATAAATATTATATTCCTTTTACTCACGGTGGAAGAAATTTGCATGCTGTTCCTTCAGGATCATTGCATGTTTTAACACAAGGACTTGTGCAAGGTTCATATCTCCATTCACACATCCTCCTGTAAGGTATTGCTGCATGGAGTTCTAAGAAATTTTAAAATCATCTTGTAAATGATACATTTCTCTATAAACCTAGCTTCCTAATAAATAATAGCCATCCATTTACTCGGAGCCAAGCTGCACTAAAAGCCTCCAATAAAAGGGAAAAAATGTTGCCAGCCAATCAAGACAAAAAAAGCCACAAAACAGACAGAAGATATTAGAAACTCCAATCAAGCAGAACACAGCAAACTCCAAGACCAATAAACACAGTCCAAGACTCCCAACCAATCAGGATGAAGAAAAAACCATTCTGGCATAGCAGTAGGCTAGCCCCAAATTTAAAACTGAAACGGCTGTGAAAGTCTGACTCACAGACGAACACAATACAGAAGCCTGATGATGGCAGATGAGATTCTGCTCAAACTTTGCTACAACTTTAAAAGCGCAACTATAATGACGTGGGAAAATACCCCAAACAAAACTGAATACTATATATATATATATATTCAAAGTAAGAACTAACTATGGTTGGTAAAAATCATAGGTTTTGCAGTATGGGGGTTTATTGATAGCATCTCCCATATACCATGTTGTGTAACTCACCCTCAATACTGAAGCTACTTAATCTTTTGAATTCTTCAGTACCATCAAACTTTGAGATTTTCACTGCTGAAGTGCTAAGTGTAAGGAAGAAACCTCTTTTGCTGTGAAGTTCAAATGTATTGTAACTAGAGATCCAAAGTCCTTGGTGATGGATAAAAGTCGTTCTTCTACGAAATGACAAACTTGCATCCCACTGTGCTAAGAAAATGTTGTTCTCATTGTGTACATAAAGAAAGTAGTTTGGCCTTTCTGCACACTCAAGTGAAATCAGAGATGAAGCTGCCAGTAAAAAAAATGAAATTCATAGCAACATATAAAAACTTTAATACATATTAAAGCAGCTTTTGAATGAATAAATGATACAAAATTCAAAGAAACAAGCTAAATAGCACAGATCAATTCAAAGTAATATTAGAGAAGGTATGAGCAACATAGTTTTTATTTTATTTTTTTATTTGTCAATTGTTTACAAGATAATAGGTATAAGTAAAAACATAGTTATGAATACATGGATACATATCAGAAAAATAAAAGAAATAAAAGAGACAATAGGACAGGGACGGTAGGCACATTGGTGCGCTTATGCACGCTCCCTACAGACCTCTTAGGAAAGGGGTGAGGTCAATAGTAGACAGTCTAAGGTTAAAGTTTTTGGGGTTTGGGGAAGAAACCACAGAGTCAGATAGAGTATTCCAGACATTGACCACTCTGTTGCTGAAGTTGTATTTTCTGCAATCAAGTTTGGTGCGGTTAACCTTGAGTTTGTATCTATTGTTTGCTCTTGTGTTCCACTTCCAAATATCTGATGAAAATGATGCCAGTAAGTATTTTTATTTTCTTTAAAAGTACATTTTAAAACAACTCATCAGTAGGAAGGAAGAGTATTTATTGCTGTAGGTCAAGGAACAAATTCAGGGGCCCCTCACAGATTTTATAGCCAGAATATCCAAAACTGTGATCTGTTTTTAAAATACTTTGGATATTGCTGGGAAAAGGTGAAAAAGGCTGCCTATGGAGCATATCACTAGAAGTAGAAAGGTCCTTTTCAATCCCCTAATGCCCAGACAGTGCAAGCTCCATACAAAATTAATACTTATCTTCATATTGCTGTTACTGTAGAAATAGAAAAATGTCTCTTGTTGCTGTCGAAGCTTTTCTTATCCAGTCTATTACAATAACATTTTATCCAATTTAGGAAGTGCGTTTAAAAGAACACAATCTAGCACAGAAAATTTAATCCTTTTGCAGGTATAAAACTTGGAATTTAATTACATTGGATCAGAAGTAAATACTCACATAAAATTTTATCTTTGTAAAGTCCAGGAGTTAGCATAAAATTATAATATACTTTTTCTTGGAGATTGTTTCTAGATAAAGGAAAGATCTTTTTGCTGATAACATTGATTCCTATAACTGTATCATTCTGTCCATAACTGGCCAAAATATAAGGCCCTTTCCCAAGTTCTGGAAGTATAAAAATTACAATGATAATTAGTAAAAGGAAAGCTAATCATCTTGGAAGAATAACAAGCCATTTGAAAACACAGAAAATTGTTGAAATGAATCAAAAGCAAAATGGATAAAAAACTAGAACTCCAAAAATCTGGATAACTACTGGGTCTAATAGCTTGAGTTTTCTTGATCATTCCAGACAATAATTTATATAACTAATATATTATGCCAATAATATTATAATCACATTTCTTATAGTTTCAGCCAATTTTGGGGAGTAGTGATAACTAATTTATCAATTGCCCCTCCAAATGCTTGTTTGAGGGTAACCCAATTTCATGTTTCTTTCTATCAATTAAGTAATTTCCTCTCGTTTTTACAGCAAAATACTACTATAATATTTTCTAAAACTAAAGAACATATTAGAGAAAACCTTTATTAAGCCTTTTCTCCCACAGAGAAACTAGCATTAGAACAAAGACATAATTCAAGAGGTTTCACCTCCAGGAAATAATAACTAAAAAGCAAAGAAATTTTCATTAAATGGTATAGAAAAGGCCAAAAAAGGAAAATAGATTTTTTTTTTGTATTTTAAATACAAATTTAAAATTATTAATTAATTTTGAAGTATTCATTTCCTTTAAATCTGCTTCTGTCAACACGGACTACTGAAGCTAAAATTGTTCTGCCTCTAAATAGTTTTAATATACCACAAGACTTGGCTATCGGAAAAATGGCACCCTGCCTCTTGTAAGTTATTTTGCCTGTGTCCTTATTTTATTTTGCAGCTGTCCCTGAATATATTTGTATCTGTACAGTGGTGGGCTTCCAATTTTTTAACAACTGGTTCTCTGCCCTACTGATTGGCTGGGTGGCTGAGCATGACCATGTGACTGAATGGGCATGGCCAACTCGATGTCACTTACAGTGAGAGGTGCTTCACCTCGCCCACCCTCTCATGACCTTGGGGATGCTCCAATGGTTGTTAGTATGAAAAACGGTCATAAGTCACTTTTTTCAGTGCCATTCACTAAATGAACTGTTGTAAGTCAAGGATTACCTGTACAAAAATACAAAAAGCTTCTTTGCTTGCAAAAAGCTGCCCTAAATACAGTCATTACATTAGAAATGAGGGAATACACACTGAAGATCAATGAGTCACAGCGATCAAGGAAACCTAAACCATTCTGTCTGAATACCTTCCTTTTCCTCAGCAATACCTGCAACCCGGAATTACAAATCAGACAGGTTGTCACAGCACATTGAGGAATTAAAATAGTTAAAATACAAGGATAACTATCAGCAGCCAAGTTACTCTTGCTCATAAAGTGAAACCCTTTAGCAGAGAGGTCATTTAAGCTCTCCAGAAAGTGGGTAGGCATATTTGGGCTATAAAATGCCAAGCTAAAGAGACAAATTAACAAATTAACATCTGGAGTGAGGGCTAATCTCATTCTGTCTTTGTTCAGACCTTGCTGAAAGGGAAATTTTGCCTATGAATATAGCTATCTATCTCTTCATCTCTTAAGTGCTGACATCTGCTGTGGACTATTAAGGAAGATGGGGGCTGCTTTCTCCCTCTAAGAAAACATGTTTCTCCATTTCTCATCCAGGGAAATATATTCTTCCTTTTTAATATTTCTCAAAATATTTCATTTTTTTAGGAGAGGAGTAGGTGCTAACTTTCTACAATTGGTGCCATGTTATCATGGGAGATATTATCATGAGAGCCATATTATCATGAGAGAAAACTAAAACAAATTGGAAGGAGGATCCACTTATTATCAGTGAGCAATCATGTACCTTGCCCACTCCGAAGCAACTCAAGAGACTCCTGTCCCAAAGGTGCTTTTTCAAGAGGCAACTAGACTTTCTAGAAACCAAGAAAGTCCAGTTGACTCTTGAAAAAAGCACCTTTGGGACAACCATGACCTGGATGATTGAAGAATCCCCATAGAATCCCCATTTTAGACTCCTGTGCTCAGTGAACTGACAAAGCACAGTTTCCACCCAGGAAAAGGTCCATTTGCACCACTTAAAGATACCAGCTTGTCTCACTCACCTCACGAGATATCCTTAGGTAATCATCCAGATTTAAGGAAAGATCACATGCCCCCAGAAAGGCAGTAAAAAAAAAATCAGACAGAATGCCAAGCTTGCATCCTGCCTCTCAGCTATTTCTTCTATGGCTATGCCAACCCTTCTATTAATAGTTGTTCCAACCATGTTGGAAGTATACTCCAAAAAGCTTAAAATACTCTTTAACAATATTTAAGAAAGTCAAGCCCCAGGAATCACTATATAAAACTCAGTCTACAGACAGAAAGTCTGGGCATACTGCCAAGAACCATTAAGTCTTACAATGTAACAAGTTTAACCCAAAGGCAGGTTCTGAAAACACTTAAAGCAGCAGGGCAATTAAGATAAGGATTAGGCTAGAAATACAGGCATGCCAGAATGTTTCCTTCCTGTCTCCCTTGCAGGAGCCCTGTAAAGTGGGAAAAGTTTTCTTCCAACAATCAGTTCTCTGAACTACTCAGAAAATTAACATCTGGTTCAAGAGAACCTGTGCGAACCAATAGCAGCCCACCTCTGTATTTTTTTAGAAACAGAGCAACAACAACAAAACTATCTACAGTTATTTTCACTAATAGTCAAATATTGCATCAAATTGTGCTCTTTATCCCATATGGAATATGGCTATGTTTTATTTCTGCAACTTGAAATAATTTTCAAATGCAACTTACTTATTCAATAAAAAGGATAAGTGTCTTTGATTCATGCTTATGTACCTAATATTATTTTCTTTAATACTGAGAAAATGCATACCTTGGTTGTAATAATCACAGTCGTAAGCTGGAAAATAGAACAATATAATAGTATAGTGGACAACAGTAACAGAATTTGTGATTGGATATTTACAGTCAACTAGAATTCACAAAAAGTTATTTTTACATCTTTTAATTAAGCTCTTTACTAAGTATTTACTCAGTTTCATCAATAACAAGAAAATATATCAATATAGAGCCACTAGTTATGAAGATTTATTTTATTATTATGCACATACCTATGATTAGCCTTTTCTGAACTGCAAAATAAAAAATAAATACATATACATTTACATTTTCATCCACACTCAATAGCTGGTGCAAAAGGGGAGGGTGTTCTTTCAAAAATGAGTAATATATAAAATATATCTTAGTAGATTGTACTTTACTTTACTATGGTTCTTGTCATGTGAGGCCCTCCATGAATGCAGTTTATAAATAGGAAAGTTTCCCTGCCTGAAAACATTCCTGTATGCGTGGATGGCTGAAGGAGTAACTAAATGGTCCATGTGATGTTGAAAATGGAATTAATTAGCATAGCTCCATCTCCATTTTATTTGGAAGGAAGAGAGGAAGAGAGTCTGGGAGTTAGGAAAAATTGGTTGTAAAAATTGTACTGATTAACAAAAAAAACCAATTATAAAAATATACATTAGATTTTTAAAAAACCTATGCTATGATTTATACTATCACCATATATATACATATATACGTATATATATATATGTAATATATGTAATATATATAATATATATTCTAGCACATTGAACTGCTATGACTTAATGGAAAACACTATGTGAAATAATCTGCATTATCTACAGGCATTATATTTAGTAATATAACAGAAAGCATACATACGACAGAGAGAAGGAGATCGCCAGTGAATTACTGCACCCTGCTGGCAACATTTGTGAGCATAAGCTGCAATGCTAGTGCACAGACATTCACAGTCCCCACCAAGATTACAGTTGCATGTATCTGTATGACAGTTTTTCACAAATGATGTTACATCAATCTGGAAAATATAAAGAAAAATAATAGCATGGGATAACATAAAGGCATAAAAATCCATCAGGAAACAAGAGAGATTTTAAAATTAGTATAAGGGAAAATCATCTAAAATGAATTCTATATTTTAGGATATATATAGATATCTGCAAAAATGTATCAGCATGACATTAGAAAGTTCAAAGGGCACATTAGAAAGGAGAAAGAGGAAGAGGCAGAGGATTAATTCTATATTAAGTCTTGATCTACAAACTGTCCTGCCCAGTTTTAGAAACTGTAAAAAGTATTCACTTACCACATTACGGCAAGAGGCAAAAACATCACTATATAAAACTGAACATTCTTTTTTGGCATAGGGGAACTTGCTCTGATGAACTTCACATTGTTTGTTGGTCTCATTTGGACTTGCACACTAATGAAAAAGAAATAAAGCATGACTATTAATCATAATGGTCAAGTTGTATAGTCGGTCAGATGTTTAATTGCATTTCACATTTTTATCCACCTATCAAGTCCTTCATAAAAATCTGGAACAGGCAGATGTCGTTTCATAGTGTTAAAGATATTGTCACAGAAGATAAGCTTTTCCAAGTAAAGCTACCTTTTGCAATTGAATGATGGTGATTTTTGTCAGAGCCAATGATGTTCAAATGGTACTCTAGAAGTTTTGGAATTGCACCTAAGGAACCTATTTGCATCATTTTTTAATTTCTTTTGCCACACTCATTCTATTTCTATTTGCAGGTCTTTGTTAGTTGTGATTTTCTTCAGTTCTTTTCCTCTTCTCTTCTTTCAGATACTGCCATATTCACTATCCAGACATATTATTATTATTATTGCTATTGCTATTATTATTATTATTATTCTCCATCAGAAATATCTATTAAAAATTCAAAAGCCCTTTAAAAACTGAACATGTATTTCTTTTATTAAGTTAGCCTCATAATTTCATTTCAAATAAAAACATTTAATTTGGAAAAATAGTTATTTATTGTTTTGTTTTTAAAACAAAACATTGCTTTTTTGATACTGAATTTAATGTTTTCTTTATCACACATCATAATTGCTTCCAAAACAATCAATTATGAATTGTAAATAGAGCCTTGTTCTTCAAACAACCTTTGCTTAAAATTTGCTGCTCTGATAAGTTTATACCATTCTTAAGCTCAATAAGAAATTAAAATAAAATGACTCCTGAAAAACATGCAAAATATAACCAGGAAAATAATTAGTAGGTATGAGACATGAGGAGAAAATGTTAGTGCTACAGATGTTTTTGCATACAGTATATTTTCTCCCCCAAGATTGTTGTTTCAAGCACTTATGCATTAGATAAACATTGTGTTTTTCAGATGTTATACAGTGTACTCTGTATGTACTGTGCACTGATTTCCATCATTCATATAGAAAATTGTTTCGCATGTAGCAGATATCAGATATCACAGCAAGACTTACAGCAAGCAGGAGAAATCTAACCTACATATGTTGTTTGGTCTATGGTATGGTAAATATTATTATTTGGTCAGCATGGCCACAAATATCCTTTTAATAATACTTAGAGCTTTGTGATACTCTTTTCTATGTAGTTATGAAAGCCTTTCAGGCTTTCCTTAGAATACATTTCTCCCCCAAAAGGGAAATCTTCCAGATGATCTGAAGTATAATCCCCATGATTTCCAGCAGGATGGATATTGAGATAAAAGACATTGTATTCAAACATATTTAAAGACGCCTGCCATACAATATCCTAATAGTAGGATATTGGATAGGAAGGAAGTAGGAAAAAAGTAAAAATAGGAAAGAAGTACCAATACCAATAGTAAGTATACACTATTACTATACTACTACTACTATATTGGCTTTCATATCTGTGAGCTATCAGCTGCTGTCTTAAAAACAAATTGTATTTTCACAGATCGTCATACTTGCAATATCAATATATTATTATTATATTGAAATAAATGAAGATGTTATGCTTACCTGTCCTATTGCCCAACTGTCTCCAAAAATTTGAGCATTTTTTACTTCCATATTGTTGGATGTAGTAAGATCATTTGAAGTAAATTTATCAAAATTTCCACATAAACCAGCTAATTTACCCTGAAAATAAACCACAAATATTTTTCCTAAACATTTTTACCTAAAACAAACAAGATTTATAAAGGTAACAAAGAATGCACTCTTTTTTTAAAAAAAATCTACCTTAATTTAGGTATTAATATAGATTTAATACTCACAAAACAAACACAATTTAGGCTACCTTTTGGGAAAATGTAATGTTTTCTATAACTGTTTTACTTTTTCTGTTTATTGTTTTTTTTCACTTTCACAGCCTGTGCTTACTAGTGATATACTAGTAATCCTCTTATTCTTATAGTGCAAATTACTTTAAAACCAATCAAACATCTCCAGATAGGACCAGAGAATTCTTGCTAAAAACATGAAAAACCAGTGCCAGTCAGTGTCAGCAATCTTAGCCTAAGACTGTCTCAGTATCAGGCTATTTCCAGAGTTTTTATGATTCTAACAGCAGAAAACTGTTAACATAATTAAACAGCTTTAGCAATGAAAACATCTCAAGCAGTATAAGTGGATTTAAATCAGAAAGAATTGTGTTTCTACTTCTTGCATAAGAAAATGTGGCATAAATGAGGAAGACAAGAGGGGAGCAAATGATGTCATGAAATTCATGGCATCCTCACAGTTCATTAAGGATGAATGTATCACTGAATGCCAATGATAACATGTGTCAGTTAAAGGACTGTGTTTTTTAAAAAGAAAATGTTTCAACTATTTTCATTATGGTGGTGTTGGGGGAAACATCTCTGTCACAGCTTGCAATTCAATTTTTCCTCTTTGAATCCAGGATAGTAAGATCAAGTGATATAACAGTATGGGCCATGAATATGCAGCAAATCCAAGCTCAAAAAAGAATAATTTTTAGTCTAAAAGAACGTAAAGCACACATTTTCTTGAAACCATATTTCCATTTCCATTTCTTACAAGTAGAACAGTGGTGGGATTCAAATTTTTTACTACAGGTTCTGTGGACGTGGCTTGGTGAGTGTGGTGTGGCTTGGTGGGTGTGGCAGGGGAAGGATACTGTAAAATCTCCATTCCCTCCCCACACCTGGGGGAAGGTTACTGCAAAAATCCCATTCCCTGCCCACCCCACTAACCTGTTTTCCAGCTTTGTTCTCCTGGGCAGGGCAACAAAAGAAGACCCAGCCAAACAGCTGGGACTCGGGAAGCAGAGAATAGATGGGGACGGGGCCAGTCAAAGATAGTATTTGCTAGTTTTCTGAACTACTCAAAATTTCTGCTACCAGTTCTCCAGAACTGGTCAGAACCTGCTGAATACCACCTCTGAAGTAGAAGAACTTTTGGAACTTATGGTGTATTAAGCTGAAAAATATACAGGCAGGCCATGCCCACTTGGGCTCCATAAAGGTAAAAAAATGTCAAGATATGACATGATATGTCATGTGACAGGATCAAGCCTGACACCTGTGAGCTACAGTGTCCCATAGTCATGTGATTGTCATTTGCAAACTTCCTAGCAAGCTTCTAGCTAGCAAAGTTAATGGGGGAAGCTGGATTTGCTTAATAACTGCAGTGATTCACTTAACATCTGTGGCAAATAGGTTGTAAAATTGTGTATCAGCAACCACCTTGCTTAGCAGTGGAAATTCTGGTCTCCATTGTGGTTGTTAGCTGAGGACTACCTGTATACCTGTATATTTTTCATGGAGCACTTGGCTATATAATTAATATTGCAAAATATACTTTGCAAATTCTTATGAACTTGTTTTAATTATATCAAGCATAATTCAGGAATAAATCGACTTGTTTGTAGAATAGTCATCCTGCTTGCTATTGTTATTGTGACTTAGCTTCACACTGATTCACCTTCCATCGAGCTCCAACTTTGATATGCATTGTCGTCTTCCTGTCCCACAGTACCGTGAACTCTTCCTCTGGAAAATGTATTGCTACATAATATCCAGCTTTCCAAACTTGATACTTGGATTTCTCTCCATGTCTCCTTAGCATCCCCTATAAATAATAGATACTTGTAAGGTACTAATGATGCTAATGAGGCAGTCACATATGGGTTGTTGTTTTTTTGACATTCAGCTGAAATCTTTCTGCCTAGGCACTTAATTTTATTATTCCTGATCCTGCAACTAGGAACAAAGGAGAATAATTATTAATTTTCTCAATGATATCCTTTCAAATATTTATTTTCTCAGTGATATCCTTTCAAATATTGGATGTTCCCAATCATTTTTCCTTTTTAATCCTTCCTTGTCAAGGCTAACATTAGCCTATTCCTTCAATCTGTCTTCATTTGCCCTGCTAGTTTTTAAACATTTAAGCTTCTCAGAATCTGACCCAGTTTTGAATTACTTTTTAAGTATAGTGCCCAGAATTAGACACAAGGTGGGGTCTAAATAACGCAGTGTCACATTTCAGAATTTCTTTCAATGATTTGAAATGACATCTAAAACTGCATTTTTACAACCTTATTGCACTGCTGATTCATATCCATTTTTAATCAAATACAATTCCAAAATATTATACGTACATTGTTATGAAGCCATGTCTACAATATTCTTTACTTGTTTTTAAGTAAACAGCTTTGCACTTGGGATATGTGATAAATTCACATTAATTATGAATGTATATTTAGATTAAGGACAAAGTGTACTTTTACACACTTCTTTCCACTTTACCAATAATTAGTTTGTCTCTACTTCAATTAGCCAACATATTCCACAAAATCGATATGTAACTCTCAGTCCAAGAAAGATAATAAACCAAGGCTGACTCAGAAATTCTGGAAGTTGAAATCCATGTCATATAGGGGCAATAGCTGCCTCACACACACCCCTCACAGTTGTTGTATTATTGTATTTTTTAAAAAATATTTTCCTATAGCAAACATTTCTTTGCAATGCATCCGAATTATAACATGTTAAACATTCCATGACAGTACAAATAACAATTAACTACTAATATTCCTTCCTATTCAAAGAAAGTGACACAAACCAGTTTCAAGCCACAAAGTGAAGCAATTTAAATTAAAAGAAATTTCCAAAATTTCAGGGATACATCATACAGATGACCTATTACTTTCAGAAGCTTTTGATTATACCTAAAGCAGGTACTTGTATTGGGTTTGAATGAAGAACCTCTACTGAACATTGTAGATCAATAGTTGGAACACATGAGAGTACATGTCTGAACTTAAACTGCTGATTGTGAAAAATTTTAATAGGATTGACTTTTTCATCACAGGGAACTTTAGAAAATAATGTTGTTTTTCCTATCAAAATATTAAAGTTTAGGGTTTGTTTGTTTTTTGCTGAAGTTCAAACCACAGAACCTGACAGAAAAATTAAACATTTATTCTAACCTACCACCACTGCCATTTTTTAAACTTTCTATTTAATTAAATTAAATTTTGTGTTGTCTAGGGAGGCTGCTAGTCCTATCCCAGAAACCTAGTAGCTCCTTATTAAATTCAGGGAAAGGAGAATTTGGCAGCAGAGAGGTTCTGTGATGTCCAATTTAATAGGGATTGTATAGAGCTTCTATAATAGAAGTCTATGAGGAAAAGATAAACTTTGTTCTATTATAAAATAATATGTGTTTATATGTTGTACATATAGTTGGTGTAAAAAAGCAGTATTTTAATAATCAAGTGAGCTTCAGTCAATAACTTCAAAAAGGGGAAATTAAACTTACCTCTATGTCTAGAGATTCACTGAAAAAAATTTCAGAGTCTCCAATAGTTAGCAACAAATCTTTTGAACAAACGATGTCATTATCGAAGCACTTCTTATTTTGAACAATTAGAGACAAGTTTGAACTGTCAACACTCTGTGAAGGAGAAATAATTGTTATGTACAAACATAGTGACAGAGCACTGCAACATCTACATAAGGTATTGTCAGGCAGTACATTCCCTTAACTGGACTACAACTGCCTTGGGAAGTTTTCTGGGTTAACTTGAGTTAATGCAGTTCTAAATCAAGTGATGTCAGGTTGACCTAGCTATAAACCTTGATCAGCCAGATTGCAAAGAAATAAATGTTACTCTCTGAGTTTCATACTGTATAAGGGACCCTTGTTTTACTGAAGTTGGAATGAGGTAAAACCAAATCATTTTGAACATGAAAATATTATTTCAGTATTGATGATGGAGTTAATAACCATTTCTTTAAGGATGTTTTCTAAGGCAGATTTGCAAGTGTATTATCAGATTGAACATAACAGTGGTCTTCCCTTTCTTTTTAGTTTTATAATCTGTCCTTTAAAAAATACCACCAGAAATATAATCTATGGCATTGGTGCCCTTTTCGGATCTTGCCAACCATATAACTTTTCAGAGTAGGCTGAATGCTCCAAAAAACCTTCACTGGTTCAGTCTCTCCCAAAATGAGAAATAAGGCTTGAAAATTAAGATGGGAACTGAAATAAGCTGCTTTCCTGACTTACAGACATTTACCTATTTTGAAAAGAAAGTGTGAAAGGACTCTGATCTACTTGTGATTATTTTCAGCATACAAAATACTTACTTATAAGGAAAAAGCACAGAAAGAATAATGTAACTTTCAAAACAGGAAGAATCTGAAGAGAAAGTGGTACTATTGTTCGGTCTTTAAAGTTTGATACTTTACAACAAAATGAATTATTTGAATTGAAATGGTTATTTATATGTTTATTCCTACAGCCTAAGATGCTATATCACTCAGAAAATTTTACCATTTTGTTCCGTTAACTATTTAAACAGGAAAAATCAAATATGTAATTAGTGGAAAGAAAATCGACTCATTTGAGCTATGGTTCTGGAAAAGGAAAAATAATGAAACAGCTTCTCACTTACTTTGGCCATGTCATGAGTGGAATTCACTGGAGAAAGCAGTTATTTTTGGAAGAGTTAGTGGTAAAAGGAAACCAGTCCACCAAAGGACACAGTGGCTGGATACCATCAAAATTGACACCAGCAAGAGCGTAGAAAAACTAAAAGGAATAATGCAAGATTGGAAGATGTGGAGAGATCTGGCCCATAGAGTTGCCAAGAGTCAGGATCAACTGAATGGATGGCAGCAGCATCATCTATTATGATATTTTACTAAAATCAGAAAAGAACCAAATACTTTTTTTATTCAACATATTGGCGTGCAAACTTGAAAACAGAGCTTTCCAAGGAAAGATTATATTAAAAGTGCTATATAAAAATCAGGAGGAAGCAGACTAAAAGGTCTTTGCCTCATGTTCTGTGTACCTACAAGTGTAAGATAGCACTATACAATTGGCACTACCTTTAATCCCTGGCAGCGTCTAATTCAGCAGTGGGATCCTACCTGTTTCCACTACCGGTTCGGTGATCACAGGTGCATGCACATGCACGTAATGCGTGTGAAGCTTTTCCCACACCAGCTGAGGCCTGCAGCACCAATCAGCTGAAAGGAAAAGGAGAGAAAAGCACAGGGGTGGTGGGAGGGCCGATCCTGCCCTTTTCTCTTCTTTCTCCTCTCAGCTGATGAGGCTTTTTTCCCCTCCTCTCAGCTGATCCTTGGAGGCTTCTTTTTTTTTTAAACTACACTGCACGTTAGCATGGGAGGGCAGTGCTTCCAATTATGCCTTTTGCGTGTTGACAAGACTATATGGGAAGAGACATGTCTTCAGATACTACAGGCCTAAAATCCTAAATGCTTTACTATCAGCATCTCAAATGAAGTAGAAATAAAATTTGGAAACTGTGAAAGAAAATGATAATGAGAGGAGGAGGAGGAGGATGGCAACATAGAAGTAGTAATAGATCTAATGACTGGAGATTTAAATCTGGATCTGCCCTAAAAAAAATTTCCATTGTTTTATATGTGGAAGTAATATGTTACTTTACACAAATGTCACCAAGATACTAACATTTTAAAAGAAAATACAAAAAGAGCATTAAACATTTACATGTTTAAATGTTAAAACATGTAAATATTGCCACAAAATATTTTAAAGGTACAAATTAAAGTGGGCAGCCGGCCTCATTATTGTATACATACCACATGGAAAGCAGTTTTTAATGTCAACATTTTGTTAATTCATTAATTTTTCTGGAAGACTGCCCAGATTTCCAATCAACCTTAAAAGCTATACAATTTGATCATTTAGTCCTCAATTACATTAATCCATATTTGCTTTTAATTTAGTGTGATAATTTACACATTAAGGGGACCTTTACAAGTATTCCTCGACTTACAACCACAATTGAGCCCAAAATTTCTGTTGTTAAGTGAGACACTTGTTAAGTGAGTTTTGCCCCATTTTACAACTTTCTTTGCCACAGTTGTTAAGTGAATCACTAAGTTAGTAAACTAGTTGTTAAGTGAATCTGGCTTCCCCATTGACTTTGCTTGCCAGAAAGTTGCAAAAGAGGATCACATAACCTTAGAGACAGAAATGGCCATAAGTATAAATCAGTTTTCAAGCATCTGAATTTTGATCACATGATCATGGGAATGCTTCAAAGTTTATAAATGTGAAAATGGTCATGTCATTTTTTTCAGTGCCTTTGTAACTTTGAACCATCACTAAATGAACTGTAGTAAGTAGAGAACTCCTTGTATATGCTAACAACCATTGTAACATATTAAACAAACACATGGTTAAGGATTTTGTAAAACCATAGTTCTAGCTGCCAGCAATCTTCCAAATCCTCATGCAGAAATCTTCCAATTGCAGTTGCTTTAAGTGCAGAGACTGAGGAGAGAATTTCTGTGTACAATAATCTCTACTACTGAGCAAAACTCTATTCCTCAGTTTGTAGCTGGGCTCCTTGCTATGAAAAAGAAGAAAAATGTTTCCTCGTGTCTGAATAGGGACTTCCTTGTCCCCTAAACTTTCTTGATATAACCTCAGAGATGAATAACAAAACGCTATATTTATATTTTGTTATGTAATCACTGATTCAGAGGTAGATTTTCCTTTTAAGGCAAAACACAAAAAAGAAGTATTATCTGTCATGTGAAGCCAATTTATAGCAATAGGAAAGAAAAACAGAAAGATTTCCTTGCTTCTTATAAGACTATCTTCTATCTTTCCATTAAACTACCAAAACAAGACAGGCTCTAATTTTGTACCAGTCTCTTTGCAATACTATGGTGTTACTAAGCAACAGGGAAACAGGATGAAAAATCCAGGCAAGTTACCAGAATGGTCCTGCATTTCCAAAATGAAGTGTATCATAGCTCAATAAAACAGCTATTCTGCCTGAATGTAATTGAAAAAATAAGCTTAACTGTGGGTCTTAAAATCATTAGCAATTAACCATATTGATGTATAATTTAATTGACATCATATGTTTAAATATTGTCCCTTATAAAGTTAATCCATGAAACAAAGAACAGGTGTTGCAACAACTAATAAAACTACTGAAAGACAATCTGGAAACAATATTAAAAGTTTCATCCAATTCTTTTGATGGGCTACAAATTAGGAAGAAATATAAAATCAGCCCCCATAGGTGGGGGGTGTTTGTTGCTCCATGAGCTATCTGAAGATCATTGAGAAAAATTCCACATCCTACCTTTCTAATAATGCTGCACTTTGGCCTGGGTTGCCAGTGGGTTTATCACAGGGAAAATGAAATATTTCTTTATAATATTTCAGGCTAAAGCATGCTTTTATACTACAGGATCCCAGGAAATTATATTAAAAAGTTCCAACTTCAAATGTATTATTATAAATTGAATCATCTAAAATATTGATACAAAAACTTACATTGATTGACATTATTCAGCATTGGTATAAAAGTACAAATGTTATGTGCTTTCAGTAATGAAATTTCTTCCATACTAAATATACTTTCTGTTTAAAGAGCTTGGGCAATTTTTTTTTTTTTACTTAGAACATACATGTGAATTCTGGCACTGACCATAATAAAGAATGGATGGATTAGAATCAAGAAAAGTATCACAGTGTCTAGACATATTTCTCTCAAAAAGATCCAAAATTGGAATACCGCTGAAGAAAGATTTCTAGTTTTGTACATATATAATACGCAATCCCAAATTTTAGAATATAGCCAGGAGATCCTCTGATCTGCATCCAAGACAGTTGTCTATATCAGAGGGTAGAAGCTAATGGAAATATCAGGACTAGATGGCTAAATCACTGTAGGTATATAATGAGCAATTTCTGTAAATACACATTATAAATTAACTGCATACTTGTTTATTGAAGGTACATTTTCTGTTTACCTGCCAAATGTCTTGCATAAATCTTCTAAGAAATAAAACAAAGGGGCTATCTGATTTATATCAAAATTGTAGTTCAAGAGAAGGTGCTACTTCTCTTTGATTTCAGTCAAATATTTTATATTATGAATGCTGCCAATATTCATAGTAAACAGTTCTCTTTTGTATCATTTATTTAATTCTGTTCTACTAAGAATCAGCTTGGTTATCTATTGGATTACATTACAGCAATCCGTTCCTAATGAAAAACATGATAGTACAAAGATTAAGTTCTAGGAATGCTTGGGTATCAATTTTCGAGTAATAAAACTCTAACAATGTTTTACTGTATCTACAAGAAAACAAGAAAAAATGCCATTTGACTCCTACAAAACACTGAAAAGTCATTTAAGAAATATGTACTGTGTTCCATTTATGAAGGGATCAATGAATCAGTTTTCATAGATATTTTATGTTATCATTTAAAGCAGAATGAGGACTAGAGTGGAAGAAATGTACATAATTTAGAGTTGACAATATTCTGATGTTTATTTTATATACTTTTTAAATAAGTGAAGATGCATTTAATATTATTCTATGAACAAGACTGATGCTTGTATCCTTAGGCAGTAGAATATAACTCTATAAGAAAGTACATGGATGAAAGTTTAAAGAATTATGCAAGAATTCCTGGTCTACAGGCCAGGTCTACAGATCTGAGTCGGAATGAAACTTATTTTGGAGTAAGGATCACAGATTAGTTAAAAGAAAATTCCGTTCAGGAATTTTCTATTTGTCTATTCTTTTGACATATCTATTGCATTGTAAACTTTCAGAGCATTTTTACTCTCTTTGTAACTATATGGAAACGACCAATGGAATCCCCAAATACTGTATATAGCTGCAGGCTGAGACAACAAGAGTTTTTCCAGTGTTAAAATAAACCTAACCATGACTGAAGATTTATCAAGAACATCATTAGGATATTCAGGATGAAATCAGTAAGAATATTTATCAATCAAGGGGAAATGATATTTAAAGAAGAAAAAATGCAGATTGCACTGTGACAGATCCATCAAACTAATAGAGAATGATCACAGGCAGGTAAAAAAGCAGTGGGAGCAGGAATGACTTCCACTGACTTTTCCAGTGGGAAGCTAGCAGGGAGCCTTGCAAATTATGATCATGTGACCAAGGCTGACCAGAGCAGTGTTTCAGTGGCCCAAACTCTGCCTATACAACAGATCTGGAGATCCTTGAAATTTCAATCCTATAGGAGTAATTGACCCATTCTTTAAGTAAGTCCATTTGAGGTATATTGATTCAATAATTGTTGCCCTGTGATGCATCATTTTGCCCAATTGAAGGTGACACAAAGGGGAGTTTTTTAGTAGTTATTAAACTAATTTTGCTTCTTTTCATACAAAAACTAAAAGAGAGCTAGCAGTATATTAAACTGTGAGCTTAAGTTTAGTACTACATTTTAATATGTCTGCAAGCTCAAAGAACTGCTTGCTGTATATCTGAAAGGTATCTCCTCCCATGTGCCTCACACTGTGCAAATACCTTCCTTTTTAAAACTATAGTTGGCAATAGGAATATCTGAAGCCTTTTCTAATTCGTCATTCTAGGGAGAGAAAAAAAACAAAAGAGCCACTTATTATTATTCTCTCCCATAGATGTTAATCTTCGTTTTCCTCCAATTTAATAAAATGGGAAAATCTAACTTTCCTTCCACTTACCTTTTTGGTCTGGAAGATTGCAGGAGACAATTTAATAAACCTCTGTTTAAAAATATTAGATATTTGAAACAAATGCTAGTTTGTTAAGAGGGCATATTAAACGTTAATCCAGACCATTAAAATTCTCCAAAACAAGGCAAATGACACTATAACTTACAGCTAGTTAAATTCAAAAATGTAAAGCAACAAACATTTTTATAAAGATTTGCTTTAAAAATTGATATTCAGAATAATTATATTATACCCAGATATTTGGGGATTTTTAATTAATTTATCATATTAATGAGTTGTACTAGACATCCAATGGCAGAAAAACAGAATATTTCTCACAAATAAACAAAACAACTTTTTTGACTTGAAAAAATTCATTAATGTGAAAATTTAATAATCAGTAAAATGAGTTAATTTATTGCAATGAAACTCAATATCCCCTAAAAGTCATTTTCCAGAGAACTATCACATTGTTCAGTCTCTTTCACCACAGAGCCTTCACTCTGCAATCATTATTATAGAAACTGTAAAATATATTTATAATTAATATAAAGACCAGATTGAGAAAGTTTGGGTGCTGCTGTACATGTTTGGAATTGGAGCTGAAAGCAATGCAATTATTAAGGCACAATACCACATTATTGTTGGTACTTAACCTTTTTCTCTGGTCAGTGAACATAACTTGTAACTGAAGCATTGCATTAAGAATTAAATTGATATGTTTAAAGAATATTTACAGGCCTATAAAGGGCCTAGAATAATTCTTGAAAATAACTATAGAGCTAGAAATTGCTGCCTACTTGTTTCCAACAGTCTTAAAATACTTCAAAATAATTAAAATTACAAAAGAGGTGTCCATGGGAACCATATGTTGTATGCCTGACTGAATAAACAGATAGATGATATAATTTTATATAGTTTGTAGACAAGGCAGCCCTGGCAATAATCAGGGTGAAACAATCACTCACATGAGAGGTAAGAGCCTTATACAGAGAAGTTTTTCATAGACTTCTCTATTTTTGTTTTTCTTCAAATTAGAGGCTACATCAGGTAAAATATACCATTTCATATATCCATGGCCAATACCGACTCAACTACCAATCCAGTAAGTTTTGAATCATATTTTGTGTCACGCAATAAAATCTTGTATCAAGATTATCTGATAGTACAGTAAAAGACTGGACAGCCCATAATCAGAGTATATTAAACTATTTTAATTAAAATCAACTTAAGCAATTGCAAATTATAATTAGCTGTTGTGCAACCTATATTTAAAAGCAATATATTAAGATTTCCAATTCACCTCCCCAAGATCTTTCTTCTTAAAACAAGCAGGTGGAACTTATTAAACTTTATTAAAATGTTACACCTCTTTTTTACAGTAGGATATAACAATCACTGAAAAAGGAACAGATGAAGTAAAATGCATTCCAAAAGGCTCATGGCCAAATCAAATACTGCCAAGTAAACACACAGACATCAATTACAAAGCAAAGAATTACATAAACAAAGATGGAGACTGGAGTTAAGAAAATTCTATTGTGAAAGCAATTAGTTCAGTGACAATATTTGGTGGCTATATATCTCAAACACCACATTATGAGTCCACACCCTCTTTATTGCATGTTTGTTCACTCTGCAGAAATAGTTTAGTTATCTTAAGTGTCAGGTGAATGTGACAATCATATTGTTGAAAATTGATTATATCTAAATGATTAATAAACATAGATTAACTGACTATCTAGACAGCTGATGGTGAAAGAATGCAATGATGTAAGCCTGAGAGTTTTTCCAGTATTGTTTCTTTACTTAGCCACATATGATTCATATAGAATAGACAATCCTGCTACCTCTTTTTGCCTGGAAATTGCTTTGCTAAATCTCTCCTTTGCAGATGGAGTTTGTTATAGTCTGAGAATAGCTGGCTTAGACTACAGTCTATGAACTTTTTGTAAAGCCAAGAAATCCTTCAACAGTTGCATATGGTCCAAACACTAAGAACAAATTAGTTATTTATTTGAAATAGCTGATTGTTCTTCCTCCAAATGCAACATTTGCAAGGCTTTTAGAGAGGTGAGAACTCCCCCTGTCTAAAAAATAAAAAGGCTAATTCTAAAAGTATCATTCCACACAGACAGTATTTTGTGTCATTTTGCTTCTTAGATAAAAGAGTTGCATGAAATGGGGCACTTATCTTTTTTTTATGAATGCCAACTTCTTCCCTGAACTTTAGAACTCCTGATGGTCCCAAAGAGGTTACTTACATGCAAAGCATATACCTGCGAAATCATGAATTTGCTTTCTAAGCCATACTTCAGAAAGAGAAATAGACTTATATTACAGCACGCCCCCTCTATACATCATTAACATTGCTGGTGGAGCTGCTGCTTTCGATATGTTTAGACTCTAGAACTATATAGGCATTTGGCAAATGTGACAAATTGTGACAAAATGAGACTCACAATGTTATGATGTAAACCCCTTATACTTGTGTGCCAACATTTGAGGCAATCATTATTTAGGTTATGTCACAACATTGTGATGATTATTTTATCATTTGTTTTCTTCTCCTTGTTCCTACAGATAATTCTGACTGGTTGGGGAGACTATATTATGCCACAGAAAAGATGACCCTATTGGAGTTAGTTAGAAATTTTGCAAACCTAAAGACAAATGTGAAAGCTATGTAGCAATGTGTATTCCTTGAATGTTGGCTAACCAGTTAAAACTGGTTCAATTTTCTTGCGCATTGTGCATTTGTAAGTCAATTGTCTGTGCGTTCTAAAGTTTCGGTGATAAAATGTGATAAAGATCTTTTAGTTCAACAAAAACGAAATGCTGTTTGTTATTATAATGATATATAGCTATATTATTATTATTAATTTAATTTAATTTGATCAATTAAAGTTAAACTGATTTGCCATGAATATTTTATGTGTTTGTTATTACTAGGAACAGTTGAGATATGCATTACATCTTTATACAAGAATGATAAATAAAACATCGCTTCTCGGCCTTGGCTAAGATCAAGAATGATAAATAAATAAAAACTGGAAAAAATAAGATCAGAATGTAAAATTTCAGCTTTCACAAATAAATAGATAAATTCTTATATTTCTGGTATGCTTCTTTCAATAATAAATAAATAAATTGTAGGTATCAAATTAAGATCCACTATTGTGAGAATTCATTATAGGTGCTCACTATGATAAGTGCTCTAGTAGCAACTTCCAAGCAATCAACAGATAGAGACACCTTGCCTTCATGAAAGAGTCAGGCTTCCAGAAAAAGCACAAGAAAATATACAAAATCTTGCTGGCTTGATTTGCCTACATATAGATAAGCATTTGGAAGTAGAGTACTCACTAGAATTTTTGTATTGTCATCTTTCTGCTAATTTATCTTCCTTACCAAAACTTGTTTGAATTAAGCATTCCAATCCAGGTAGCTGTAAAAGTCTGACAACTATTAAGAAACATAGAAAGTAAAGCAAGTTCTTGCTTAAAATTGATGCTTGGGACTTTATGAGCATCATGTTTTCACAAAATGATAAAGAACAGCATCCTGATTCCTGTCAGGTTATCTGGTTTCATTAAAAATCTGTGGTGTGGCAACTAACAATGTTATTTTAGTGACAGGAAGAAATGATCGTATTAAATACATAAAGCAGGAAAAAAGAGAAGAACCTAAAATGTATTTGTTGAAAGGCTTGCACTGATACTATTTTGTAATTTGAAGTAAACAGAGTAAACTCCATCCACATAGCTGTTCAATGCAATGTTTGTAGAATTTATTACTCTGCGTAAAAAAAGGCAAAAAAAAAAGTCTTCTTACCTTTATCAAATAAATTTGACAGTCACTCACATAGTCATATTCTAGCCCATCAAAGGTATAATAATGCCGATCTCCATAGACTGTACACACAGCAGGACAAGGATAGTATGTACAATTAAATATGCCACGTCGGCAAATACTGTGGTGTAAGTGGGAGAATCAAGATTTTCTCATAAATATATATATATTTATATATCTACATCTATATCTATCTACACACACACACACACACACACACACACACACACACACATAAAATAGCAAAATCCCAAATATATTTATGACACTTAGCACTAGCACTTAGAGTTATACACCGCTCCAAACTGTTTTACAGTACTCTCTGAGCTGTTTGGGTCCTCATTTTACCATCCTGGGAAGGATGGAAGGATGAATCAACCTTGAGCCAGTCAGGATTGAACTCCTGGCTCTGGGCAGAGTTAGGCTGCAATACTGCATTCTAACCACTGTGCTACCATGGCTCCATTTATATGCTATATATGTGTGAATTCTATATGAATATATTTTATATTTAATGTATTTAGAATCATCTCCAATATACGTAGATCCTGGGGATGTGGATAGGGTGACCAAAGACCCTTGCCCTTCTTTGCTAGTTCAAATTTAAGGTAGATAATCAACAATTTATTCATTGCATCTTTGTATGCTTAAAAGAGACAATTATAAATTATAAGGGATTTTTTTAATTGAAAAGGCTCTCCTTTGACCCATAAAATCCTTTTATTTATATGATAACATCACATATTCTATTTCTGGCTAACATAATTGAGTAAATGGTGGCTCCATTGGTCCATGTGTGTTTGGATTAAAATGTTTTCTATATATGAATGAAAATATCAGCACTGGTTGCCAGTGAGCCAATTTAAGATGTTAGTGTTAACCTTTAAAGCCCTACAGGCCAGCAAAATTGGGGGCATCCTAGTCTCTGGAGGGAGAATATTCTATAAGGTGGGTGCTGTAGTAGAAATACACACGCATATAGTACACACTATTAATGTTGGAATAAACAAAAGAAAATAGATTAAATAAATGTGCCACAAAGGAATTTCTTGCTGCATTAAGATTTCCTTAAAACATCCATTACAATCCAAGATCTCTTCTTGCCAATCATTTCCAATGTAAACTGCTTCATTAATTAAGTATTTTTTACCTTGAGCTGCAACAATTGTAATATTCTTGTGCTGAATATCTGCCATTTGCATGTTCATGGTACAGCTTGGTAAGATTCTTTTGGAAGTCCTCATGTACATTCATATTTTAATTGACCCTACTACTTTGATGTTTCTAGGAACTTGGTCATTTGTGAAATTTAATACTAAGACAAGCATTTGGAAGACTACACAATTTATATTTCTGCATTATAATTATTAAGATATCCCTAGATTTATTCTAGATAGATTGATTAAGACTCATCATGTTATATGATGGACTTTTAGACAAACTACTTTCTTCTTCATTCATTAATCTATATTTTAAGTGTTTTATTTTTAAAAATTGCTATTAAGTTTTGAAGGTAAAGTAAGACTCTTCTGCATTTACTACTTGGATATGCTAGCTGATTGTTTCCCTGAATGATTGATTAATTGATTGACTGATTGAGTTTTCCACCAATTTTTCTGGAGTAATTTTCTGAGTTGCCAAGATAATACATCAATATATAACCCTAATTAGGGTCATCAGTCATTATTAAATTATTTGAAATCATTACACAAAGAACACATATAAAAACATGTCACAGCCTATGTAGTACTGAAGTTAATTAAAGTATAATAATCACACTTACCATGTATAACAAGGGGTAGCTATCACTTCACCTGACATATACTCCCAATCCTTCCACATGCATGGACAACTATCAGGCACATAACATTTTCCTTTATGATCTGCCATCCTTTGAAATAGTAAAAACATAAATTTGAAAAAAGTAACTATTTGTAATCTTTTTTTATATAGAAATAGCAGATACAAATTCTCTTCTAGTAGACTCAATGGTCAAAAAGCAGAGCTGAAATAGCTTTTGAATTCTACAGAAATCACTATTGGGCACATGGTGAGTGTACTTTAAAACAGAAAAACAGGAAAGTTGAACTTGGAATCTTTACACATAGCTTTATGGTATAATGGACAAACAGATTCTCAATCAGGGTGCAGCTGATGTTTTGGTGTTTTCAGGCTGCTCCTAGAACTCTCAGAAAGAGTACTTTTCATTGAAAATGTATTTGTCCATTTGAGGCTTCTAATAAATTCTTATCTAATAGATAAGCCTATAGTTAAGCCTACAGCTTATCTATTAAATTTCTTGCCTTAAAAAGCCTAGTACTGTTGTGAAATCTCATTGCATTCAGAGTAATTGGGAATAATTAAAAATAATACAGTAGTCAGAGAAACATATTCATCTGATCTTTGAATACATTTGCTGTATCCTACACTCTGACTTTCGGTGTCACTTACCCAGGGGGACAGATGCAACCATTCAAACATGGTGGTGAAGGTGTACAGGTAAAGTTCATAGCAATATTTGTACATGTTAGTTCACAGTTTATTTCAGCTGATGGCAAGCCAAGAACATGAGATTGGCAGTCATAGTAGATCTTTCCATCAGGACATGAGTGCACTATGGATATGAAATGCAAATGATATATAATCATTTTATAATTATATTTCCCATTAGTTAAACTTAGTGTTTAGGTTTGCTGTCTAACATTACACATTTTCAGTAATGTGCCCTAACTGAATATCCATCTAACAGGGGTGGGATACAACAGGGTTAACTACCGGTTCAGGATTTACGAGCTTCCCTGCACGTTGGGAGCTGCATGCCTGTAAATCATCATCAGCACACTGCATGCAGAGAAGCAACCTTTGAAACAACCCTCTTTTCCTGCTTTTTTTAACTGCAGCTGTGCCTTGTTCAGCAGCTGAAGTTGAAAAATCAGGAAATACAGATCAGGTAAGAGCCCGGGTAGGCGGGTGGGCAAAAACATCAGCAGACATAGAACTGATTCTATATCTGCTGCTCTTCAGAACTACCGGTTCTACAGAGGTGGACAGAACCGGTAGAAACACACCCCTGCCGTCTAATTTCATATATAATAGTAATTTTTAAAAGATTAAGCATTCTTCAAACTGAGTTCAATTCTTCATGGACACATTTGTGACTTATCTAGGATTTTTTCTGTCCCAATTTCCTAGCTAGCCTATATAGCCTTGGATTCCTCTGAAAGCTCCTACCCAAGTACTAATCAGCCCTGACATTTTTTAGCTTCTAACACGAGACAAGGGTCAGCCAGAGCTACAGTCCTTTTCTTAGATTGTAGATGGCTAATATTCCTTCTGTTTAAAGGCAGATAGAAAGACTGAAAATAATGGCTTACACAAGAGTTATGCAGAAAAAGCTTTGGTAAGCACAGTTAGATATATGGGTACAAATTTTAATTCCTCCCTTAGAAGTTGAATGTAATTTCTGCAAGTAACAAAAAAGACAGCTGATCAAGACATATTTGGTAATTGTTATTCTAAATGAGTCAAGAAAGTTACCTGCTGGAACAGCTGCTGCTTCATTGCATTTCATTGTTCCATTTAGACATTGACTAGTCAAAGAAAATTTTTTAAAAAGTTTAATAAGGAAAGCACTTTCCTGACATCATTATTTTAAACTGTTTTACATCATATTACTATGCTAATGTGTATATAATTAACACAATTGCTGGAATTGGTGGTTGTTCATGAAGATATTGCCTCAACTTCCCCCAAAGCTCCACCAGAGTTTTCCAGTTTTCTGAAGCATACAGGTCTTCTTGCAAAGCATAAAGAAGAAACATCGGTTCTGCCAGTATACATTTTTTTGTCAATGGATTAACACTGACTGATACTATCATTATGTTTAGAAATTTCATACTAATGTAATTAAAGGCTTCCAATGTTCAATTATTATCAGGCAAGAAAGACCAGGTCCACAAGTGAAGGTCCAATTAAACTCTTTTCTTGCTAAATAGCCTATGTACAGAAACCCTTTCAACTAATAGTTAACCCCTCTTTTGAGCTAGATAAGGATCCACAGAATTCAACGTAGTTGGACTTTGTCTGCTTATGGCTATGTACAGATTCTAGGCTAATCTCTCTTATAACTCTACCTCCAGGTTCTAGCACTCCTTCCCCTACATCCATATTATTTAATTCCTTAGCTTTACATACCCAGTAATGATACATATAATTCAGTTATCCATTGGACTTAAACATTTAAAGAAAAAACACAAAAACTACCAAGTGAATTGGACCTATAACCACTTGGAAGAGGGGCTAAATTTTCCACACATTTTGTTTATTCATGAGGACAAACATATTGTATTCTGAAGATAAATCAATGACTACCTACTGTATTTCTTGGTTATATTAAAGTCCACATCTGAATTGAGATCTACTCTGATGGTAAATTTAAGAGCACACAGGATAAATTGGCAGTAATCTCCCCAACTATAATAGCTCAAGACAACTGATTATGATGACAAAAACCAGGGCCAACATTATAACTCATAAAGTATACATGTCCTTTGTGGAGTCTAGCTCATATTTTTGATTTTAATGGATGTTCCACTGTTTGCATCCTAATGAGCATTGATAAATGTAATTTTATATATATTGATGACTTTTAAAGCACAATGGATAAATTTTATCACAACCAAGTCTTGCTTTAAGATGCAAAATCTAGAAGGATCTCCTATAAATTATAATCCTGTGAATTCATTTGTAAAGTATAACAAAAGATGAAGTGGTTTGATATATAAAAATAAGCCTACATTTCCATAGAAACATAAACAAACACTTTTTCCTGCTCTTGGCCAAATAAGTTTACTTGGTATATTGGATAGTAATCATACAGAGAAGTGATTAAGAAAGATGCATCCAGTTGGCAAAATAAGTCAGTGTTTATTCTTCCATAATAGTTTACAATTTTACTATCATACTAAGTAAGAAAATGCAGGAAATTATTTATTATGCCAAATTCATATAAAATTAAAACAGGCCTGTATCTAGCTCAAAAATTAAATGCAGAAAAAGTCCATTTACAAATTTGGTCAAAATGAAATTCTGGATATCAAAACTTACCATGATCCCGACGATGTGGGCAAAATTTCTCCGGGTTGAAGACTTCTGCCTTTATAATAACAGCGACAGCTAATCCTAATTTTTTAAAAATATATTTTATTTATTTGTTACTCTCCTGCCTTTCTTACTTTATGAAAAACTCAAGGCAGAGAATGCACTTAATACTCCTTCCTCCTCTTATTCCTCTCCCCCAAAACCAACCTTGTGAGGTAGGTTGGTTGAGAGAGAATCACTGATCCAATGTCACCCAGTCAGCTTTCTAGTCTAAGGTGTGCTTCCCAAATTTTTTCCTTCATTACCTCCCAAAACTTAATTTTTAGTCAATTTTGAATAATTTATTCAGGTTTGGCAAGCTCTGGCTTAGCTTCTGAGATCAATTACGGTTAGCTAGGTGTTGCCACCTGCTGAGGCAAATTCTAGCAGGATGCCGTTTTAAGAACACAAAAACAACCATCTTAATCAAATTTCTCACAGTTGACCTATCAGATACCTCTGAGACAGATGACTACCCCCCCCCCCCCAAAAAATCTGGGAGTAATTTTAATATTTCAAGACTAATAAATCTCAACAGTTCTGTCTTTCAGGAATTTATTCAATTTTCACTAAAGCCATCCAAATTATTGTCTACCATCATGACTTTGCGGTAAAGAATCACACAGATTAATTATATGCTGATGAAAAACTGCATTCTTTTGTTCCTAAATTTAGTTATCAGCTTCACTGGATAACTTGATTCTGCTTTGTAAATTGAAGAGAAACATTTGCCAGACCATAGCACTAGCATTAGCAATAGAATTTAGACTTAAATACTAGCTTCACCGTGCTTTACAGCCCTCTCTAAGCAATTTTCAGAGTCAGCATATTGCCCCCAACAATCTGGGTCCTCATTTTACTGAAGGATGGAAGACTGAGGCAATCTTGAGCCAGCGAGAATCTAACTGCTGGCAATTGACTGGCAGTCACAGAATTATCCTGCAATACTGCATTCTAACTACTGTGCCACCTCTTTTATACATGCAAACTTTTATACACCTCAATCATGTCTTTCCTCAGTTGCCTTTTCTCCAAACTATGAAAGTCTCCAATGTTCTAGACTTTCCTGATAGGGAAAACACTTGAGTTGCCTGATGTTAGTTGCATTCATTTGCATTTTTAATCCTAACCCTAACCCTTTTTTCCACAGGTGGCAATTGAACAGAGACATGATGCTAAACCTCACTGTTTCTTCCTCTTAAACCCAGAATCATAATAACATGGCTTTGTGCTAGTTTAAAAACACATTTAACTAAATTAGCTTACATTGGCACGCAAAAATTAATAGATTCTTCAAAATATTTTCCTTCAGGGCAGTTACAGCCTTCAGCACAGTCATTATCACAATCATCCCGAAGAGAAAGGGAAGAACAGGAGTGTTCACAGAAGGAGGAACATGGGTGATACAGCATTCCACTTCGGCATACTAATGCTATGGAGATACATCAAATTTCAGGAATATCAGAAATTCTATGCAAAATATAGCACAAAAATCTTCTCTCTTTTTTACTCAATCAAGGCTACTCTAGGTTAGAACAGAATGCCCTCCAGACTAGAGGTGATATTCAGCAGGTTTTGACCAGTTCTGGAGAACCGGTAGCGGAAATTTTGAGCAGTTTGAAGAACTGCCAAATCCCACCTCTGACTGGAGATTTTACAGGATCCTTCCCCTTCCATGCCCACCAAGCCACGCCCACAGAACCAGTAGTAAAAAAAATTTGAATCCCCCCACTACTCCAGACACTTTGCTTGATAAATTGGTTACATGTCATAGGTGGCAGAAACGGGTGCTCATAAAGCAACAATTAGCAGAATGATGGCAGGTGGGGAGTGTTTAATCACAAATACATGGCAGGTATCTTTTCTCCCATGGGGTCTCCAAGAAAAATCCTAATTTCAGGTTAGAAATATAAGACATCAGCCCATGCTGCATTTGCAATCACCTAATTTGAAACACATGCACACTCATTCCCATTCTCAGTACACCAACACTAATGTACATTTTGCATGGGGATAGACATGTAGACATATTTATTAGGCAATGGGAAGGTAAAAGTGTTAAAGTTTTTTCTTCTGTAGTGGTACAATAAGTTGAGTTAAAGCTATCTTAAATTAGCTACTATTTACTCTACACAGTCTCATACATTTTGAATATCTACTTAGATCCCACATAATAACCAGCTTCACCTTATAGACTTGATCAAGAAATAAAAGAATTCAGATCAAATCATATCTGGTTGGTATTCTCATTTCTGTTTTACTTACCACAGTATGAAACATGAGATCTGAAATCTATAGTAATCCCATGCTTGCTGCAAATATAAGCATAGTGTGCAAATGCATTGCACAAGCAACTTCTCCCACATTTACAAGCATCAAAGCGACATAGCTGATAATATAAATCTGGACTGATATATATGTGACATGGAGCAAAGAGTTCTTGATTGATGAGATCACACTGGGATGCATATGCAACTATAAAAAATTGACATTACCATGTTTATTAGATAGAAATCTAGACTTAAATAGTAAAACAAAAAAAATCTAATAATAGATATTATGTAAAAGTGACCTAAATGGGATTAAACCATAGTAAGTAAAACATTTTCAATGACTATTTAAAGTAATGAATAAACAAATAGACAGTGTTGCCTTTACTAAAAATATTAAACAAAGATTAACGGAATAGTTTGATGTTTTAAAATGAGAAAGTAGGGAAAAACTCAGACAACAAACAAGAGTTGTAATCTAGTAATGCAATTATGATAAAATTTAGATTAAAAATCTCTAAATAAATGAAAAGTGTACCATTTTGTTGGTTAATGTTGCAAGGGTCAACTACAGGAACATTGACAGGCATGTGACATGCTGAAGAAATCTTCCATGCATTAGCATGAAGTTGTGGGGTTCCTTCAATCATTCCTGATGGAGAACTAAGAGAAAAAACAAGAATTATTAAACAAAAGAATCACGCTGTCCAGAAAAAAATGCTTAATACTGGAATATTCTGTTGTCTTCTGAGATATGTCCATATGGAAAAGTTCTGTGCTAACATGATGGTTGTATAGATTGATTGATTTATTTGACTTCGTATTAATACATGCTGTCTGGAATTTCAGCTGAACATTTCCAGTTGTACTGTGTTGCAAATGTTAACCTTACCAGTTTCTCAATCTATATTCTGAACTACTATATATTAGCACAGCAATTATACAAATGCCATCTTCTTTGTAGAACTCCATGTACTGAGTCAGTGTGTGCCTGTGTGGATCATATAGAGATTATAGATATATAATATATAGATGGGTGGGTGGGTGACTGGATGGATGGATGGATGGATGGATGGATGGATGGATGGATGGATGGAAGCTATTTCGGTTCTGTGCCCAGAGCATTGTCTTCCAGATCTTAGAAATTTTCTCACAATGGCCAGCAACAGGACAGACAATCAAGAGTAGCATTCTCTTACACCCAGTTACCTGGGGGATGATATTCTTTGATGCTAACATATCTCCTGAATTTCACACCATCTCCCCTCTCCTAACCTTCATGGCCACATCTCTGTGAGGGAAAGAAACTCTTCTGTCCTATTTAGATTTCAGTAAAACAAGCCACATCTGCCTCCACTCCCATTTAAATAAATGGCTCCAAATTAGCAATAACGATAGCTTATTATAAGACTAATTCTATAGCCCTTTAGTACAATTTTGTGTCCATCTGAGATAACCCTAGAAGTTGAGTCATGGCAACTGGACTTCTTTTCTTGTTTGGTCTGAAATGTTTTGCTGCTGCTTCTTCTGGATAAGCAGCAAAATGTTTCAAACCAAAACAGAAACATCCAGTTGCCATGGCTCAACTTCCAGAAAACTCTGCCTGGATGACAGAATCTTCACCACCATCTTCAAGAACACTTTGTATTTAGAAGGCTACATAAACGTCCTCTGCCTTTTAAAACTGCAATAATATAATCATATATATGGTGCGGTATGGAAGACCCTGTAAACACTTCTCCTAAAAAAAACCCTGTCCATAACAATGATAATTCAGGATGCCTTATAAGAAATGAACAAATAAGTAAAAATAAAAATTGAAAAATATTCTTAAACAACAAGGCAGTTACTTTTGTCCAAGTTTATAATGCTTCCATTTCTATTTTTTCCCAAGTACATTTTGTTGACCATCAGCATAAGCCAAAGGTTGAGTACCTAGTTATTTTTAATTGCTATAATATACTGATAACTTGAGAGTGCTAGTGAAAAAGAGAACATCTAATTCCTTCCCTGCTTATTTGTAGTTTGTGTTTAAACTTATAAGTTTCTATGTCAACTAGTTTCCTTTGATCAACTAAACATTTGTTAATTGTGCTGCTGACTTTTGTCTGAGGCTTTATTTTTACTCTCCTTTAAAACAGCTTTAATCTGTTCTATCTGATAACATTTTTATTGCCTTTTGTAATTTTAGATGTGTTTATTATTATTATTTTTACTGTCGGATTATTTTTATAAATGAAATATGAAAGCATCTTTCAACAAAATAGAGTTGCTTGAATTTTAAAAAATGGTTAAATTTTTTTGTAACAAGGTGCAGTGTGCATTTTATATTTTAACCAGTGCAAATGATCAGAATTATTCACTTGTAAACCAACTCACAGAAAATCGTCTCTCAGATTTCCATTATAAGTTCCACAGAGACCCATAGTTCTGCTCTTCCACTCAGCTCTGAGCTGAATATATATTCTTTTGCCATCTTTAGCAAACTGGATTTTTAAACCAGATTTAGTTTTTAGCTGCACAAACAATGAAGACAGGTTCTGTACTTCCACATATCCTGAATATAACAGAAAAAAGAATTAAATTCTGAATGTATACATAGATTCATACCCATTACACTATGCTTTTTGGGAATAAGCAGTGTTACAGGTAGTCCTTGACTTTCCACCATTTTTTAGTGTTTTTTGAAATTACAAGAATTTTGTAAAAGTGACTTACAATTGGTACTTGAACTTTTGACTGCCACAGCATTCCTGACAGTCACATGATCAAAATTCAGGTGCTATGTCCCAAGATCACATGATTGCCATTTGTTGCTTTCCTACTCTGACAAGCAGAGTCAATGGGGGAAGCCAGATTTACTTAACATTCATGTGATTCACTTAATGGCCATGGTAAAACAGGTCATAAGATTGGACATGACTCACTTAACAACCACCTTTCTTAGGGATGAAAATTCTGGTCCCAATTTATGACCCAGTGGTCAGAAATTGAGAACTATCTATATGCAACATGGAAAAAGGAGTAAGAAATAGCGGGCAAAGAAACTAAAAATGTGAGAACAAAAAAAGAGGAAAGGAAATATGGTTAAATCTTGTTTATATTCCCAAACCATTCACTGTGCTTCATAGTTTTCTAGCCTTGAAAATCATAATTGCTTCCACCATGTTTATGCTTCAGGGTATCTTGTTTGTTAATAATGACATCTTTTTGTTTCTTAAAATCTCAGCAGTTCTGTTCAGCTACAGTTTTTCAGTCTTCTACTTCCTCTTGACCCATTTACTCTTCCTTTATACATATATTTTGTGATTTAATATTCTTTTGTCTCTATATATTGTCAAACCATTTCAATATGCTTTGTTGAACTGGACAACCATGTTCACTAGAACTCGTTGATCTGATTCAATCCATATGCACTCCAAATTCAGTCTTGATTTTATTTTCACTTGTTTCACCACATATTCTTTTTTATTACCCTCTTCCAATGGATTCTGCAGAACATCGTGGGAAGTGGTTCTTGGTGGAGTTACATAAAAATTTGCTTTTATCCCTTTTTCTTCTATGGAAACATGAGTAATTGACTTTTCTGAACGTACTTTTTTCTTTCAAATGGAAACATCAATCTATATTCAATTCATATACATTGTCCATTGTCTTATTGATTCTTATGGCGAAAAACTGTGGTTTTTTGCAGACAGATAATTTTGCACTCAGGACCTCATTTTCCTACAATAAAAAAAGAACTAAGAGAACTAAAAATGACTGTGATTTTTCCCCCAAAGTGTTTTTTTAACCTCCTAAAATATAAGAAGCTTGGTAGTTAATGCAGCCTCAAATGACTTTCAATAGAATAATTGCTTATATAATTCCTATACATCAAGTGAAAGACTTAATTTTTCCACAAGTGTGACATACAAATGAATCATGACAAGAGAAAACTATGAAAACTCTTTCTCAATCTATTTTTGCTTTCTAAACAGAAAGATAAAACTGATCCATGATGGATGAATGAAATATTTATGATGACTGGAAGTATAATACAGCAACTGACTGCAATAAGGGATGCTTCTAGCTACAACACTTATCCCAATTCAATTGTGTTTCCACATAGAATACCATAGATGATAGCCAGTTAGTTCAATTCATGTGATCAATCAGGTCTATCTATTTAATTTGAAGCAATCCTTGGCTCCTAAACTGACAAGAAGTTTACTGAAGCTACAGTAAACTTTGAATTATAAATTCATTTTAATTCATTTAAAAGATAATGTTGATCTAATATCCTTTTGTGAAAATATGTTCGGAACCACATAGCAGGAAACAGCTGCATTCATTGCAGAATCCTTCTGAAATCCTCTGGTCTGCATACTGTGCTTGGACTAATGGCTTGGTAGTTCTTTCCAGGGAAGGCCCCACCTGGCATCTACTCTTATTCCTAATGTTTAAGAAAGATAGAGCTATCACAGTCTTTCTATTTATTAAAAAGCCAAGAAGTATTTAAAAATAGAAATAATTTCAATAGTATAAACTCCTCACCATGTAACACAAGAAGCATAGTATCTAGAAAAGTCAGCCCTTCCCCAGTCTTTTGGGGGATAAGAGAACCTATCTCATAAGACATTTTAAAAAATTAAGTATGTTAAAAAAAGCAAAAATGTAAAACCTATCTTTAATTTCAAAACTACAAACACTGAACTGAATGTTAAAGAAGATAAATTACACAGAGCTGCCTAGCTCATTTTTTTAAAAAAATGAAGTTGATAAGCTGAAATTGCATCTAAAAGAAAAATGCAGTCCTCTAGGCAGATCATGCAGTTTTGCTAAAATGAAATGCCATCTGCCCTTAAGTCTCCATAAAGAGATGAGACTGTGTTGCAAATTAATATTGATTAGAAGAAGATTTGACAAAGGAAAATACATTGTCTGAAATACAATCTGAAATACAAAATGGTAGTTAAAATATATGCAATTCCCCAACTTATAGAGAGGGAGAAAAAACGAAGCCTAGCAAAGACAAAGGATAGGAATCAAAATCGTAGACTTGCCCAATTCTGTCTAAACATTTTAGCTGTTTTAATTTGAATATCAATTTTCCAAAGAAAAAGTTCGTCTACTTCATTTATCCAGACTCCTGGAAATTCCCAAGTTTAGTGAATGGCTATGAGAACAAAGGTGTTTTTTTTCAAAATGTGGTCCACAGATTTCAATAATATTCTGCTTTTTCTTTTAAAACAATGGAGCTTGTTTGATCTCCAGCAAAAGGAGAGGACTCAGTATTTTGCCCAATGCAGCCTGGCACAAGGGGCTGGTGGCAAACTACATGATAATGTATTTATTTTTCAGAAACAGCTTGGTTAATACAGTACATTAAAAGGAATTTAGGTACATGAAGATAATTAACTAATGAATAATAAAGGGTATCTTACCATTTAGGGTGAATCCCTGGCTGAAGGATCCATACTGTATTTCACCACCCCGGATGAGAGTCACTCGCTTGCTTATATCATCTTCAAAAATTACCGTCAAAGACTGAATGCAGTCATAATCAATGCTCTGTATGAACCAAAGGAAGAGGAGGGCTGAGTCTTATGGGAAAAGGAACATATAGAGCAAATGTTGTTAATCTGTATTAGATTCCATTTTTATCAATATTCCATTTTTATTTCACTTTTCTGCCCACCCCCAGCCCAAAATTTATTCTTATTACATTTTTGTAAAATAGATTAATAATGAACTTTCTTTAAGATTGTAATGTATATGCACCAACCTAGCTAGGAATATTGAACAGTATAAGCTCATATTGAAAAGATAATCATTAAGAGTTATGCAGCTGTAGCACTTATGGTAGCCTAGCATTCCCCAGACCTCACAGTTTGAAAAAGTTTATCTAGGTGACAAGAGAGTGACAGGATGATTTCAAGACAAAATGGTGAATTAAATGCTAGTGTAAAGCACTAGTATAAAAGTTTGAAGACCTTCTGATATATTTAAAAGAAATTTCTGTTTGGAATTATAAAGAAAAGTATATTTATTACTTAAAACAAAAAGTCACTTCATTAAAACATACACTGCAAATCACAGATACAAAATGTAAATGAAAACACAACAAAATGTACCTAATAAAGATAAGTAAAACAAGCAACTAAAGCAATTGAAACTATTGAAACATAACCATTATTAATTAAAAGGTATCACAGCTAACTTTTTCTCACTCTTGGAATGCAATCGCTTCAGTTAATCAACTAAAATAAAATTTAAATAATTCAACTATTTCATCACATTCAGCATATTTCAGATTTAACCAACCATCATTTTAAATGCTTAATCAAATATTTTATATACTTTGAGCTTCCAGATCTATTGTTCCAAGAAAAGTGCACATAAAATATGAAATAAATATCTCAGTCAGCTTCAAAATGCTCTTATCTGGTTGGCAATATACCAAGCTGTTCAGACCTGTCACCAAAAGCATTCATCTGTCTAACACACCTGGTCAGACTGTAACAAAATATGTAGATGCTTGTGTAATCATGCGTGAATGGAAAACCCTGTGGACTTAATCCCAGTAAAAGGCACAATTGCTTTTACAAAGCCAGTGCTTACACTTGAAACAAAATCCAGGTTCAGATCATATAAGACACTCAATATCAAGAAAAATACTGATTTTTTAAATTGCTAATCTTCTTAAGTAATTTATTGGCTTTCGCTGAACTAGATATATAGGAATTTATTTATCAACACAAAATGTTAATTAAACTGTCAACTTACTTGTCCACAGGGACTTTTCTGTAAAGTGAGTGTGAATTTGTCTTTCCCGGTGCCTTTTACCAAAATATATTGACAGCTCCCAAGAAAGGTATAATGGCGACCATCAAAAGTTGTGAAATGGGATTCACCAACAATTGAACATTCAGCTTAAAGATTGATCAATACAAAAAATATATTATTATTATTATTTTATTTATTGATTTCAGTGCTCTGTGACTCCAACCAACTCTGAGAGCAGCATAACTAAAATAATAATATAAACTAAAGAGCAACATTACAACTGAATAAAACATAAAAACTAGTAAAAAGAAATAAAATAAGAATGAATCCAAAAAGAATTACATGGTAGCTTCAGATTGCAAACCAATCAATACAGACAACATTTCCAACAGGAGGATCTCATCAATACTATCTCAAGGCCTGGGAGAATAACTAGGTCTTTAAAGCCTTCCAGAACACCATTAGAATAGGATGTCTCCAGATCTCAGATGGAGCCTCATTTCAGAGGCAAGGGCTTTTATGAAAGAGATGGGGTTTCTGGGTTCAGAAGATTCCATTGTTTAATAGAAGAGACCTGGAGCACACCCACTCATACTGGTCATGCAGAAACCATAGCAGATTGGCCATAAATAACTGTGCCATATATCATCTAGAACTTTATAGGTAATAACTAGAATCTTTCCTGAATTGAACCCAGAAGTAAAGTGGCAACCAGTGAAGCCTGTGGAGCAGAGGTAGTCATAGGAGCATACCAAGGCAAGTCCATCACTATCCATAGTGCTGTGTTCTGAACCAGCTGAAACTGCTGAGTAATTTTCAAGGGATGGACCCATGTAAACACTATTGCAATAGTTAAGCTTTGAGATGACTAAGGCATGAATGAATCCAGGAGAGGTCAGAACAGGTTCATCAGATGGATATTGAGGAAAGGCACCAAGTTGTGCACCACTCCTGAATGTGGAATGGCAGTCCTATTGAGCAATAAAGATGGAAAATCCCCATGCTTAGATGGTCCCAACAGTCACAGCCACTCTGTCTTCATAGGATTAAGTCAGATTTGGTTCCTTTCGATCACTGTCCACACAGCTTCTGGGTACTGGGGCAAGATTTTGACAGCTTTACTTGGCTGCCCTGAGGCTGATAGATATAACTAGGTATCACCAGAATACTGATGATCCTGAACCGCAAACCAGGGATGATCGCACCCAATGATTTTATGTAGATGTTGAATATTCAGTTTCTAATATCTATAATGCAATGAACCAATGCAAATATAAAGTGCCTTCATTGCCACAATGTATGGCTCTTCTAACCTTCATTACATAATGTGCATTTTCTTTTATTTTTTTAAATGTTATTTAATATGCACTAATGAAAGCTATTCCAGGGCATTCCACAAGCTAAAGTTCAAGATAATTTCAAAAGTAATTTGCAATTCAGGATTTATAGAAGCTCATTGCTAAAGATAATGTCCCCTTTGAGTTGAGCAGCCCTTTAAGTCTCCTAGTGGTTTTATGGAAAGATTCTTAAAAGAAAAGGGTTTTAACAAATCAGAATTGTTGTAGTACTAATCAGGTCTGATCCTGCTTAGATTTTCAAGGTTACCCAAGGAGATATTTAGTCAGACATATTTCAAGGTCTTCAAGTGGTTATAGATTGCAATTAGAAAAATAAATGTACTTTTGTTCGTTTATGCAGCTAAGAAGACCACAACTTACAATCATTCATTTAATGATGGTTCAAAGTTACAGTGGCCTTGAAAAAAGTGATTTATAACCTCTCCTTGAAATTACAACCATCATACCAAGCCTGCAGTCACATGAATGCAATTCAAATGCTTGGCAACTGGCCAGCATTTACAACCTGTAGCAATATCCTGTGGTCACATGATCATGATTTGTGATCTTCCCAGCTGGTTTCCAACAAACAATATCAATTGGGGAAACTGGATTTGCTTAACTGTGTTATTCATTTAATGTCTGTGGTAAAAATTATTGTAAAATGAGGCTGGATCCTATGATGATTAGATGAATAATCACATTGCTTAGCAAAATTCTAGTCTCAATTGTGGACATAAATTGAGGACTAGCTGCATTTTGCTTCTTTCTGTGTACAAGCTAGTATCTGGATTTTTCATTTTCAGATACTGAGATTACTACAGTCAAAACAAAGATTTATGAATTAGGCTTGATTGATTCATAATTCTACTTTCCTTCTAGGATGATATGAGATTATATAATTATAATTCTATATAATCTCCAACTCCATTCACTACAGTCATCCAAAAGAATTTCCAGCTTTGAATGGGTTTGGCCTTAGATGACTTTATTCTAAATCTGTTCCAGCTTTTTTTTTTTTTTGCATTCCTGATCAGTTGACAAAACTCTCCTTGCTTGATTTCAAAACTAATTATTTTGGACATTTTTTTAATGATGGACAATATTAATTCATTTATTATATTTTATGTTTTAAATTGATTTTGCAGTGTACCTTCTTTGATGCTTTTGGTATATAAAGGTGCATAAACACACATATTTAAGGTTTCGGGTTTTATAAAAAAAGACAAAGAAGCTATATCTAAACTGAAATATAATCACCAGAGCCAGCCACTGCTCAAAGGTTAAAACATTATTCACAATAAACATGAGGGAATCAGTGAAATCCTGTGTATTGTTACATGAAAACATTTATCATGCTTTCCATATTGAGTAATAGTACTAATATCCTAGGATGCACTGCAATCAAATCATATAACAGCTTACTTTTTTTCTGAAAAAGTACTTTATATTTTTGTAGCTAAAATATCTTATTTTTGAAGTAAGGAAATTTAAGGATTTACACAACTGGATTGAATTCTGAGTCAATGTGCCATTTATATATTTATTATGACTCTATGTGCTGCCCAATATTTAACAACATTCAATCTCAAGATAATCATCATAAAAATTAATAGCATAAATGTTTTTAAATTATCGACTTGCACTATGGAAGATACAAACTTAACATGTACATTCTTAGCTAGAATTCAACATCTTCTCTCTCTCTCTCTCTCTCTCTCTCTCTCTCTCACACACACACACACACACACACACACTCACACAGAATTATCTTTATAAGAAAAAAAATACCTGGGCAATCATGTTCAGTGCAGTTCCAAGCACCACTCATACAAATGCTAAAATTTAAAATAAGAAATTAAAAACATTTATATATTTGGGGATCAGATTGAACACTGAAATTTGTTTATAACACAAACTACATAATAACCCTGTTGTTATATAGTACATAAAAGTAACTATAAAAGAAAGAGTTAAAATTCTTTTGTTGATGTTCTTTCACACACAGAACAGGCTGCGTGGGTTCACTTCTACTCCTAGTACTTGAGTAATCAGTGCAGAATGGGATCTGCATGCTTTAATTCAGAAAAGACAAATCTATGGGCAATCCTGGAAGCAGTTCCTCTTTGATCCTCATCTGAGATATCTATGGTTATCAATAACACCAGCTAATACCATTTTCGCTACCACCATATATTGCCAACCCTCATCAGTTCAGTTGCTATGATATGACATTAATCTCTAGCTGAAGGGTAGAAATTGGAGCAATCTGATAATCTTTTGTCTGACTAGCCTACCTAGTTGCAATTTTAATGTGGGTACTAAAGCTATAAAATACAATGTGAGAGGATGGATCCACAATAATTAAAAAGAAATGATATTGTACAAAATGGGTGAAGGAGTGAAGCTCACCATAAGCTGCTGCTGGAACCTCAGCTCAGTTTAGAGGTCTTTACAGTATGTTCACCTGTAACCAGGTGGCAAAGGAACTTATAAGAATAGTTCATTCCTTGGTGTGCTTAAGATTTCTTCGACCAACAGCTCAACCTATTATTTATGTCAAAGTCAATAAAGTTGTGCCTGATTTTAATAGAACCTTGATTTTTGTACAGCCTCCCCGCTCCTTTGTCCTATTCCGCAGCAGGAACTATGGGCGTAAATTTCATATTCTCCACAAAACAGAGTAACAATTGGCAAGATACACAAATCAGAGCAGTTTTTGAAAATTACATACCAGTTACTACATTCTTGTTCAATTGTTGAACCTACAGGGAAGGCTGTCCCATGATAAACACATGGGCAATCTGATGCAGAAATACAAGTTCCATTGTTCATTATAAGGCCTGGTTTGTAAAAATAAAACGATTGTAAAAATATACAGAGATCACAATATTTAAGATAGTCCATGTCAAATATGTACAAATTATGCCTCAGTTAAAATAATTATGTAATGAATTACCCAGTTTCCATCTGAAACTGCCAGTGGATATTTCTTCAAACCTAAATGAGATGAACTAGTGGCCTTACTAATATTGCAATAATCTCTTGCAGAGACTGATGGAAAGAGGTCTGGAAATTTGAATTAAAAAAAGAATATAATGGTCTATATTTCAGTTCATTTCTTATTTATTAGCAATGTTTTAAGGACAATCACTTTTAATAAAAATTTAATTCCTTAAAAGCTATGGAAAATTCTAAAGATACAAGACAAATATTGGTAGTTCTTTGATAGACAGAAACTTTATTATAAAATAATTCAACTGATAAAAATTCACTTACCATCTGGGCAATAGCATCCATCTAAGCAATGGAGATTACTACCTAGACAGTCTTTCTCAAAAGTACAGGTTGGTGGACAACAACTAATACAATCCCGATGGAGAAAAGTATCTTCACAATTGTCAGCTAAAATAATCAGTTAGGAAAGAATTATTACACTGCAGTATACTTCACTTTAATGAGAAAAAGTATGTATTATTTTCTGTTCAAAATGTTGATTGAACGCATAAATATCTTTCTAAATTAAGGCTTACTGCCAAAGCCATCAAATTTAGAATAAAGGACCCATATATCAATTCTTAGTAAGATGAGTATTAAGATGTAGAATTGTACATTTCATAATTAAAAATAAAGGCACACCAAAAAGATACCCTGAAATTTAAATCATTCTGAGACTTATTATGAAGAGTTATATATAACTATTTAAAATTTTAAAAGCGCTGTTGAGTTAATATAGCTTATTTAACATGACCCTAAATTATTTTCATACCCTGTATGTTCAGGATGAAGCCAAATTCTAAAACATGTTGGTTAAAGTGGTTCCATTCTCTTGCAGAACAGTTGCAATATGCTACCCATTACAGACCAGTGATCGAATATATCAAATAAACATTTTTTGCTTTGTTTAACATCACAAAACTAATTTTTGATTGATCAAAGTATTAAAACACACTTACTACAGGCTGGAAAATCATCTCTCCAATCTCTAATAGGATAACCTGCATGTGAACATGAGCGAGTGTATTCTGTTACTGCTCGGCAATAAGTTTCATCATCATCCTTTCTGAAACAGCAAAATGAAACTTGGTTAGTTACTGTACATTCTTAGGAATTCTTAGGAATATAAATTGTTTGAAAAGGCAATACCATCTTATTGCCTTTTCCCTCAAAATCTATAACCTTAAAACCGATTTGTTTTTTGGTGATAGATCTGATTGTAATGAAAGCTTCAAGAAAAAAAACCCTCCTTCATTTATATTACAACTTCATTTATATTACAAGCTTCCCCAAATATGGATATAGCTTAACTGGCTCATACAGTAGTTACAAAAGACAAATGTAGCAATGCTTTTATTTCAGATCTTTTCCAGCCTCCCTACATAAAGTGGTTGTGAGGCAAAAAAAATATTGGAAGAATGGTAAAGCAGAGGTCCCTTATGTGAGACCTAAGTGTTTATATTCCATCCTATCATATTTTATATTTTGCATTGAGTTTCTTCCTTCCTTTTTTCCTTCCTTCTTTCTTTCCTTCCTCTCCTTCCCCATCTCTCTCTACACACACACACACACACACATATATCTTTGCAGCTGAATGACAGAGAAAATCAAGAGAGATAAAAATAAAAAGCTGTGAAAGAAAATGTTTAAAGTTGTCTCATTCCAGGAAAGGACAAGCAGAATTTTAAAAAAGTACCCAGAACCCAGTGTTAATACTGAGATTTTTTTAGAGGCTAATTCTTGGACAACAACATTGAAAACTTAAAAGACTAAAAAATATAATATAAATTCTGTATATTAGCTTGGGTCTTATTTATCTTGTATTATCCTTTTAACTAAAGTTCCCTATATTGCGTTCTATATTTCAATATTACAGAGATTTCCTTAAGTGGGAAGGCTACAAATAGAACTCTCTTCCTTCTTGGAAAAGAGTTTAGGATAAAAGCCAATGGTGGTATTTTTTTAACCTTTTATCATCAGCTTCCAATAATTTAACATGTGGTATAATATTGCACAATATGCAACTTAGTAATATCTCATGATACAATCATCATATCAAATATGGGTATGCTATTTTGCATTGAACAACTTTCTTACAATATACCAGTATATCAAATTAAATGTGTATCATGAGAAATGACTAATCAATATAATTCATGATTATATGCTATTTCCTTTACTAAACCAAACAGCAAAAATTCTTTTTAATAATCAAAAAGAATGAATGATTAATGATTAATTAACCAATTTTAATTAAATTGAAGAATTAACAAAACATTTCTATTGTCTATATTCATTAACATTCATTAAATGTTTCAGAAAAATGAGTATTGATTCTGTTTAGGTAAGTGGCAGCACAGAAAATAAACTTATTAATTAAAATCTACCTAGGAAATCCACAAGGAAATATAGTTCTCTGAAATTTGGCCTTTGGAAACCTCTTAACCAAGAAAAGAGACTATTACCTTTCAGTCCACATTTTTCAAATATGTGATTTACAAAACTACTCATGGATTTTTCCTTGTATTATGAAGGGAAGCTCAAGTTCATCTTCAACCACAGAACATATAACTTTGAACCAGTCATTTCTTGCAAATCTAGCCCACAGGTTATTGAGACACAGGCATCAATTCTGAATCATGAGGATACCAGAAAGATTAAATGTGCATTGTAGCATGATGCATAATAATGCAAACTCTGCTCTTTTGTATCATGAGTTACACACAAAAGGGAGGACTTTGTATCCCAAGTGCCACAACGGATATTTTATCAGCTTACCTCCCCCACAGATGACTATCATTTGGGAGGGAAAGTTGGAGGTGGGAGAACTGTAATACCCAGGGAGGGAGGGAGGGAGGGAGGGAGGAAGGAAGGAAGGAAGGAAGGAAGGACTAAACTAGTATTAAATTAGGGATACTTTGGAAGCAATTCATTTCCAGCTATTCTGTTGCAAGTCAAAAGGACATCTCTTTCACTCTTACTGTAGTTAAGAGACAGTACAGTAGATGTGTTCCGCTGTGTTAAAGTGGAGAAAGGCAAGGTAACAATCATGATGGTTAATAAGCCCGCAAAATAAAAATAAAAAAGTATATTCATCTTACCTACATAGGTCATTCATGCAGCTGGAAATGTAGGGATAAGGATCTATGCTTTGATGACAACTTAGAAAAGGAAACTGCAGGAGTATTTGGCACTTAAGGTAGATACTCTAAATGTAGAATGAAAATGGTATTGAGATATATACACACATACCTACATAAATACTGTATATATATAAAATTAAACATGCAAAAAATTTGAGTGGCATGGTGGCCTAGTGGTGAAAACTCTCTCCTCCTATTCAGAAGGTTGAAAGTTCAATCCTAGGTAGCGGCAGGTGCTTCTCTCCTAGGGTGCAAACAAAACATATCTGCTTCAAACTCTGTGTGGTGTCAGGAAAAGCATCTGGCCAGTAAATGCTTAGTTCCATCCATTTGCCCTGACTCTACCCTGAATTAAGAGATTACAGGGTCGTAAAAAGGGAATTTAAACATGCAGAATATTTCCTCCCATCCAACCTAGCCTTTTGAAAAGCCAACATACTTTTTATTATATCACTTGTGGCTCTTGAGATCAAGACTCATAAAAATAAATATTTTATATGAAAATTGCAACCTAAACTACTTACCTCATAAGATTCCGTATCAATGTTGCAAGGACTAGGAAAACTAGATGTAATAGGTATGCAGGTTGCATCATCTGGGATTTGTACAGCCCAGCTATTAGCAAATTTAGCTATATCTTCTTTATAGTCACCTATTTAAAAACATAAATTTTATACAGTATATAGCGCAGCATATACAATAAGATATTCAAAGTTTAGTTATTCAAATGATGGTTCCCTAGATTGTAAAATATGCATGTAATGTATAATTCCTTTAAAACAGATAACATAGTGCATCTGTCATCACATCAATTTGAGTCTTGACATCAGAGGTGGTATTCAGCAGGTTCTGGAGAACTGGTAGCAGAAATTTTGACTAGTTCGGAGAACCGGCAAATACCACCTCTGACTGGAGATTTTACAGTATCCTTCCCCTGCCACGCCCACCAAGCCATGCCCACAGAACCAGTAGTAAAAAAAATTTGAATCTCACCACTGCTTGACATGGAGTTATAACAACAATAGCTGATACTAATATACTTTATTAATGGTGGACAAGACCAGCTAAGAAAGGTCCTGTTTGAATTTTGCCATACACACAAATTCATTTTAGTAGTCTTAAGCAGTTTGTGCCATTTCAAAATCAGTCCTTATTTGCAATAGGCAGATAACACCACTGATTAAATAAAGTCATAAGAATGATAATGATGTTATGAATCTCGAATATATTATATCACTGTTAAGTAATTATATAGTTTTCACCTCATGACTTGCGAAAAGTATGCAATTACCATCCACAACAAATTCAATAGCCTAGTAATATTCTCTGATGACAATTACAAATAAGTAGAATGAAAGGAAATGGGTTGAGTTTATCATCATATATTTTAGCATGGGTTACTTGCTTACTACTTTGTAATATGAGATCATCCGATGTGTCGTTATTATAATTTCCACAGAGACCACATGTTTTTCCCTTGTGTTCTTCTGTCAATTTAATGTAAATCCCAGAGTTTCCATCCCAAGCTAAGGAAAAGCCAAATGTAGTTTTCACCAAAATATAATTTGCTAATTTCTCAATGAAAATATTTCCAATTGTTTGGGGCAAAGACAACCTGAAAAATAAAATAAATTCCAATTTAAAGATGTCAGCTATAATCATGCTATATTTTAGTGATAAAAATATTGTTTCTTTAAAAAAATGAATCATAGTAATATAATATTGAAATTATCTTTTTATAAATAAAATGCAACTTATAACAAGTGTGTTTAATTTTTTTAAAATTTGAATCCATTTTTATTTTTCCATAATACAAATATTAACATTTGCAATGTAACCATGTTATTTCAATTATATTCAACTAGCACCTGCGAGATTCCCTTCCTTAGCTGGTTGGCTACAGTCTCACAGTCTTGATAATGATACAGAAAGGGAAAAACAGAGATTCCATTCCAGGTTTTGCAATTCCATGTCAACCAGAATTGAATATTTTCATCATCAAACTTTCACCATAAGACAAACAATTTAATAATTTTCTTATGAATACTTTAGTTATTTAAGAAGCATAAAAAAGCATTTCAATTGTTTTTACCTGATTCTACCCTTTCTAACCTCATGTCCCGATATGTGTATTTCATCCTGATTTGAAAAGAACAAGCTTATTGACCGTAAACAGGAGTACACTGAACCAGCACAGTGAGGGCTATTATTAATCTTAAAGAGAAAAGAAATAGATACATAAAACGTAAGAACATGTTTTAAGTATTACACACTATACAACTTATTTTCCAAAAGAAACAAACTGGAAATGTTTATAGCAGTTTTTCTATAGCATATTTAGTGTAGATGTCTCTAAAGAAAAACTGTACGCATGTTAACATGTATAACACATGGTGGATACATTTTCCACTATCATATCATATGCAATCTTCAAAATGGAGGTTCCATAAAAATAGGTTTAGAAATGTAACACTATATTGAGATTACTCTACTGATTACTAATGGGCTTACAGACCCAACTCAAGGTGCCGGTTTTAACTCTTAAAACCCTGCTTGGGTTGACACATATATTTAAAAGTTCATCTCTGATGTATTTATGTATTATTATATATTATTTATGTACATGTATTATGTATTTAAAAGTTCATCTCTGCTAACCAGAATATCTTTGCCCTATGTTCATCCTGAATTACCAAATAAAATACTCACTCTATATCAGGTTAACCAATTGGGTATTTGTTATGTATGTGTATTTTTGTGGAGATATGAAAGTACCAAAATGTTGTAACAGATGTTAGATGATGATAGATGATAGATTGATGATTGATTGATTGATAGTAGATGATAGATGATGAGATAGATATATCTATTACTAACCAGAACATGGTTAAACATGCTGCCAACCTAAAACAGTTATTCAATAATACTTTTACATGAAGCCTTAATGCAATCTTACAATTTTTTGCCATAGCAAACATGGGTTTAGGGTGGTCTTTACTTTTGTCCTTGCTAATCAGTCTGATAAACCACGCTCTTACACCAACACAGGGAATATCAAAATAGTATTATCATTACTCTGAAATTTTAAATATCAGTGTGCTTTTTTATTTCAAAACTTCAAAATTCCTTGATCACCATTTGATACAATGCTGATTCTGATCTCATCTTTTATTAATTTTCACATAAGATATTTTATGGCAATATAGAATATATTATAGTTTTAAAAACTAATAATGCTGAATTTAAATGATGAAAAAAAACTGAGTAAAATAGTTCAATCTAGAGTAGTACATTCAACTAATTGGCATTGGGAAGTAGTAAGGAAAACTACAGACAGCCATTTTATCATCTGCAATTTTCCTCTTTTAGGCAATATCTGAATGAATTTTTGCTCCCATCAGTAGGGAAATTTTCTTAATAGATATTACACTTATCTTTCCAATCTACTAGATAGATGCAGACTACTAAATACCCACCTTCTACCTAATGGGTTCAAAATTAGGTCTAACAGTAACATAATCCTGTCAAATCCACATGAAAGTTACAAAATGAAACATGTATAAGAATTCAGACCAATTTCTAGGGATTATGGGAAATGAACAAAATATATCTATAATATTAGAAACAATATTGATTAATGTAATTAGGGTATACTTATCACTTCCTCATTTTCCTATCCTTTTGTGTTAGCTGCCCGGAATGCTTTTTGACCTTAGAACCAAATAATTAATTATTAATTGTTCAATGAATGGAATCATGAATTCTGCAAACTGAATCATAGAATAGTAAGTGATCCACAGAATGGAAATAGTTCTCTTTCCATACCATAATCTAAATCAGCTTAATTATACAGTATAGAAGAATCTCTTACATAATTGGCTGAAAAGAGCATTCTGTTTTCAGGTCCCTCTTGACACAATTTCAAGTCTTACCCACACAGTGTACTGAGGTTCTGGATTACTGCAATCTTTCACAAAAATGTATGAGCAGTTTCCTGGGAAGTAGTAGTAGATGCCATCAAATGTTTCAAAGTGGTATTGTCCCCATGATTTGCAAATCCCACCTCTGTCTTTGCCAGTATTTGGAACTAAAGAAAACAAACATACTTGTTTTTCAAGCCAGGCCAGCAGAAACAATAATTTCAGGTGAGTGTTGCTCAGTCCAAAGATATTCATCACATTATGTTGTTAAAACAAAAAAGACCTGAAACATCACAATATAATCAGATGTTTAAAAAGAACCTGTGGATGGAAATGTAAACAAATAGAAATAAAGTAAGGAAATTTGATAATATATGTTCTGAAGACAAACTAAAATATAACTAGATAATATAACTAGATTAACTTCCTGAATATTTCCTGCAGTAGCTGTCTTTCTCAAAAGAGCTGGCATCTTTTCATCTTCCTTCTTCAGGATGTTGCAAGGATATGAAAACACTGATGCATGAAAAAATAGTGAACATTATCGATGCAAATCGGGCTTTTTCAGAATAAAAATTGGAACTTTTGTGCTTGTGTTTATTTTCATGGTTCATGATGCACACTGAAGATAGTGTTTTATTTCATTGTACAAGGTGCAATGGCAATAAAATAAACTAAAAAAACCCAAGTATATTCTAAGCAGAGACTTTTGCAAGATTATTGCAAAATAGTTAAATTTATGAAAGTCTATCACCACAAACAGTATAGTACCATGGCACCACAAACTTTTCTGTCTTGTGTGTGACCGTGGCATTACAATATAAATAATAAGGGACCAGGTTTGCATCACAACAAGCAATTTTCACCTCTCTATGAATGCATCTGCTAATAAAATGGATGATGAAGCTATAACATAGCAAATGCAATACTATACTTTTATATGTACCTAATCTTGGAGTCTAAGGATGAAGGAATGGGAATCATGGATAAATTTTTTGAACCCTTAGGTGTATTAGCAGAATGCTGTAGAAATTTTTCCAAGATGAGGATAACTTATGTCTTCTGAATTGTGTGCTGGCTGGGCATCTCCAACAATGATTAGGGACCATAACTGAAATGTAAAGATCCATACCATATCCTTTAATACTTGCCTTTTTTTAGTATGTTAACAATTTCCCACTTTTATTAAATACAAACTAGTAATTGTTTTAATGGCAAATTTTGGGGGATTGAACTTGAGGATTTTATGTTGCACACACACACACTGAGATTCATATTGTGCAACTGTTCAGTTAAAAGGGGGAGGGGAATGAGATAGTAAGAACCATTAACTCATGAAAGAGTCTGTAAATGAAAACTCAGCCCTGGGAAAGTGATAAGCATAATTTAAGAGACTTAAAGTAACCCCACCTTGATTCTGTGTGGCATTAGAGAGGACAGAAGGAAACTGGCAGACTTTCAAGATTTTGTAATAATTATATCTTACACAATAAAATACAGTTCTATTGGTTCCTTCAACTTCTGTTTCCTGAGTTGGGTTATCTTGAAGAGCTGACGTCAATTTAGCTACCGTATTTATTGGCGTATAACACGCACAGGCGTATAACACGCATTCCCTTTAATATGCGGCGGGCGCAGCGTCACGATGCTGCGCCGCCGCTAGGCACTATTGGGAACGGGACATCGGCGTATAACACGCATACATCATTTGCCCCCTATTTTCAGGGGGAAAAAGTGCGTGTTATACGCCGATAAATACGGTAACTCCAAACACTTAAAGCCCCCTTTAAAGACCTTTTTTTAAAATGCTAGCAAGCTTAACCAGTTAAAATAATGTCTAGGGTGATCCAGAACCACAATTACAAGTTACACTTAGACTTAGTAGTACTTATATTTTTGCAAAATGTAAGCTTGAATTATTAAAATACGAGATTGAATATTTTGCTATATACCTACAATAAAAGTGCATCACACCTTCTCCTGGAACTTACTGATTTGGCAGCGCTTCCCCTGTGCCTGAAATGTCTCACAGTCACAAAATCCTGTCTTTGTGCAAACTGCTCCATTAAGACAATATTGAGAACAAGAAGCTGTATAAAAAAACAGACAGGTATCAATTAGGGCTCAGATTTGATGAACTTCTTAAGCAGGCCCTGGTACCTCCAAGACCTGTTTCAGTTCTGCATATCTAAGGAATTGATGGGTTGAGAAAGATTGCCCAAAATATACTGTATATACATCATCTTACAGATAGCTTTCTGTTAAGTTTATTATCCTCCATATAAGTTGCTTGTGTGTTCTCTCTTCTTAAAAAGTTATTTTATTTCTGCAAAAATCTACAATTCATAAATTAATTTTTTCTTGCAATTAAGGTGAAACATGCATTTAGTTCCTTTTTTAACATCTGGGAAATTTCCCTCAGAAATGAATTATCTGAAAGCATTTGTCATCCAAAGATATAAATATCATTCCCATATACATCATGCAGCTGTATATAAATTTCTGAAAGAAATGCCTAAGCCAGCAATTTGAAATAATCAGCAAAGATGCAATAAAAAAAAATTGGCTTTATCACAGCAGAGATAATTGGAAACAGAAAGTAACAGAACTGGTTAAGTTTGTAAAAAAAATCAGATTTAACCCACAGTTTAAGGGATTAATAAATATTGATGCATTTTATTATACTGTATTTTATTATATTAACCTTTATTGTTTTTAGTATTATTTTATTATATGCATTTTATTATACTAACCTTCTGCCTCGGAACACAAGCCAGTGACTGTTTTATTTTATTTCTTAACCCATAAGCAAATAAATACTCACTGGAAATAGACCTGGGTCCCAATTATAGAGTCACATTCTTTTTTGTCCAGTTGATTTATTGTAAGTAAGTGGAATGGAAGGAAGCTACCTTATTCTTTCCCTCTGGTCTGAAACTGGATTTGATCTACCGTGTCAATAACCCACCAATTTTTGCAGCCTTCTTCCAACTATTAAAACAGCGAACTTGTCAAATATTCACATTAATAGCTGTGGGGAGAAAATCCATGGCAATTATACAAATATATTTAATTATAGTTAGCTGGGTTATAATGTTACTGACCTCTTGATGAATTCTGAGCCTGAGAAAATACATCATGAAAATCTGATGAAACAGTGGTTGTCTATGAGAGAAAGGGAGAAAAACAAGCAAACCTCTCATGAGTATCCAAACCAAAAATAAATCCTCAAAACTTAAAATTCTACAAATTACAATTTAATTGTAAAAAAATTAATTGCTTTAAGTTTATATAAAGATTGTTCTCAGGAGAAGCTCAAAGCTTTTGGTTAGTTAATAGTGAATTCAGATATTTCATTCAATATTAGAAAAATAAAAGAGACTTACCAACACTGAACATCACCAAAGTGAAGGCATTTAAAAGACACATAATTCTTATATTAAAAATGAAATGTTGCTCTATAGTTGAAGTATAGATAAATGTTATGAGTACAATGTGACTTCTAAAATTTGCCACATTACTGAAATTTCAGTGATGTTTCTTGTATCTTAACTATATTGACTAAATCTTTCTATGCCACAACTTCTGCTTATTGAATAAACCACAGTTTGCATTAAATGGTATGCCCAAAACAAGTAAACCATGATATAATTTATTGTACAATAAACCCAGTCAGCATCTCCACTTACTTAGTTGAGTAATCATTCTCTTGCAACATAACCTGCCTTGACAAAAAAACATAAAGCCCTCATTGCAGGCAACAGGTCCTGGGAAAGAGCAAGTTGTGAATAGACAGAGCTATGGGTGTTTCATAACCTGTCCTGCATGTTCTAAGCTTGTTTCCCACCCTTTTCTTGGATGGAAAAAACAATCCCACTACCACTGTGAAATAATACTCAAGTATCAACCAGCACCTCCTCTAACTGAATGTGGAATAAGGACACCATATTATGTGGGCTGGTCCCGCTATGAAAGCTGACCTAAATGTTTTTGCCTGTCCCTCTCATCTAAAAGATAAAGTAGATGAAGATTAAATTACTAACACATTTAAACTAATATGAATTTGATTTCAGAAGGCTGCTCAATCTTCATCTATAGTGGTATAGAAAGTCCGCACACCCATTAAAATGTCAGGTTTTTGAGATGAAAACAAATCAGGCTAAGATAAATCACTTCAGAATTTTTTGTACCTTAAATATATACCAGTAAACTGCAGAAGTCAATTGAAAAACAAACTGAAATTGTTTAGTGAGGAAAAATTTAAAAAGAACCAAAAATAATGTGGTACATATCTTCTTACAAATATGGGTGTGACTATGAAGTTCAGCTGTATTGGTAGGATTTTTCTGACATTTACTCTATAAAGTCTGTTGTTTCTTACAGCAAAAGTCATTATCTGCAAAGAGCATTCAAAGCATCAAAGGGATCTCATTGTTAGAAGGTATCAGTCTGGAGAAGGAATACAAAAAATTTCCAATGCATTGGCTATACCAGTGGTTGCCAACCAGTGGGCCGTGGACCACTGGTGGTCTGCAAGAAAATTTTGGTGGTCCACAGAGAAATGTCACCCCCCAAAGCAATTAATCCAGGCTGCACAGGAACACAAGGCTTGCGTCGCTTGCGTGGCGAGCATGAGGTGGTGAGGGGAGGGGGGAAAGGGCGGAGGGGGAAACTTGCCCCACTCACCCCATGTGCCTTGCCTGGGCACCGGGCTGCTTCTTTCTGCTTCTTTCTTCTTCTGCTTTTGGCTGCACGCAAGGAAAGCAGCAAAAGTCTTTCTTTCTCTCCCCCTGAGAACGGAGCTGGAGACAGTATCCTGTGATCCCAAATAAAGAATGATTGATCAGTAGGAAAACGGGGTGGGGAATTTTCCTGCAGACTTTTTTGGGGATTTTCCCAGCGTCTCTGGTCCGCGGGATTTAAAATTATGAGTTTGGTGGTCCCTGAGGTCCAAAAGGTTGGCAACCCCTGGGCTATACCCTGGAACACAGTGAAGACAGTTATTAACAAGTGGAGAAAATATGGCATAACAGTGACATGTTCTCCACTTGTTGAAGATTGTCTTCACTGTGTTCCATGGTGAATGCATTGGAAATTTTTTGTTTCCTTCTCCAGACTGATACTTTTCAACAATGAGCTCCCTTTGATGCATTGTAAATTCTTTTTGCAAGTCTGACTTTTTTACACCTCAAAAACCTAACCTTTTAACAGGGGTGTTCGGACTTTCTATGCCCACTGTAGATGGGTATAGCAGCCTTCGGAAATCAAATTCATGTTAGCTTAAATGTGTAAGTAGCTTAAGTTTAGGAAGAATTGGATGTCCCTCCAAAATTGATGAAAAAAACAAGAAGAAAACTGATCTGAGAGGTTACCAAGAGGTCTACAGCAACATTGAAGAAGCTGCAGGAATTTCTGGCAAGTACTGACTGTATGCTAAATGCTGTATTCTTCATAAGCAGGGTAGGGTGGCCTTTTCTTCAAAGAAAAACATCCAAGCCTAACTGTATTTTGCAAAACCCTACATCAAGTCTAACAAAAGCATGTGGGAGAATGTGTCCTGGTCTGATGAGACCAAGGTTGAACTTTTGGGCCATAATTCCAAAAAGTATGTTTGGTACCAAAACAACAGTGCGCATCATCAGAAGTATACCATACCCACAATGATGGTGATGGCAGCATTATGCTTTCAGACTGCTTTTCTTAGCTGGAACAGGGGCTTTAGTCAAGGTTGAAGGAATTATGAATTATGAACCATCAATCAGTCAATTTTGGCACAAAAGCTTCAGGCGTCTGCTCACATGCTGAAGATGAAGATGAATTTAATCTTTCAACATAATAATGACCCAAAGCTTACTTCCAAATAAGAAAAGAATGGATTCATCAGAAGAAGATAAAAGTTTTGGAATGGTCAAAAATTGGTTCCAGATGTATCCAATTGAAAATCTATTGGGTAACCTAAAGAGGGCTATGCAGAGGAAATGCCCCCCCCCCCAACAGATTTGGAGTGCTTTTGCAAGGAAAAGTTAGCAAAGAGTCCCAAGGCAAGATGTGCCATGCTGATAGATTCCTACCCTAAATGATTGAATGCAGTCAATAAATTCAAAAGGACCTTCAATAAAGTATTACTTTAAGAATGTGCATCTTTATGCAACCACATTATTGTAAGTTTTTTTAATTGTTATTTCCCCCCACTTGTACAGTTTATATGTTAAAGGTAGACAGAATTCTGAAGTGATTAATTTTGGTCTGGCTTTTTTACATCTCAAAAACCTGGCATTTTAACAGGAGTATGTAGACTTTTTGTATCCATGGTATTCCAGATTAAATGAGACACTTAAATAGTGAGAAGATTTTTCAGAAATATAACATTTGTTTGTGGGAATCTATTGTGGAAGAGATAGAACTGTTGCATCTGAAAGAAAGTTCATCTACGGTTTCCCAATTATGCATTTTACAAAGCATCAACAAAATTCCTTTTTGTCTACTCTCACAAAAGAGATAACATGAAAGATGCTTTTCGTCTCTTTTATGTGTGCATCACTTAGGGCATTATGGTAATTAATTTAATAAGCTATTTACGAAGAATGAATGGATAGTTAAATGTAGGTCTGCATTTTGAGAAGTTCAGGAAAATAGGTACAGTATGGAAAAACTACTCCACTTGTTCCTGCTGTGATATTCACATTTCCATTCTGTTTTACAAAGACTTCATTGTAGGGATAGCAAGCACCCTTTGTTGGCAAATGTGTGTGCGTGTGTGTATGTGCCTTTTCTCTTCTTCCTTTTGAGGTATAGCCTACCTCAGCTGCTAAGAGATCTCCTTTTTGAGGAACTACAGTAAATTCATTCCTGGAAGAAAACAAAGAGAATCCTGTATAATCAAAGGTTATAAACAGACTCCCATGAGAGAGGTGCTTCATTCTGATTTATCTCACTTGATCAAAGACACCTTTCTTGAGCTAAGCTTTTCTTTTTAAAGAAACCGTTAATGTGCAAGTTTGTTTCCCTTTTCATCCCCTCTTTTACAAGTATAAGAGATACCAATCTTTTGCTCATAGACATTAATTATAGCTACTTGCCATTGAAAAATCAGTAATAGTTGGATACATTTAATAATTGAAAATAAATAAAAAAAGAAATAGAATGGTTTCATCAAAATTAGAAAGGCAATGGGTCAGAATGATAGAATCAGTGATGTTAAAGTTCATTAGCTCACTGAAAGGGTCATATACTACTACATTTTAAGTTCTGGAGGGATATCAATTCTGCTTATATTCTGTCCCTAATATATAAATTTCCAGGAAGACCACTCTGTGTAAGCCATCTTCTAAAAGATTTGAAACTATCTGTTATGAAACTACCACCCATATAATAGCCAAATTCTGTGTTTTCACAATGAAAATAAGGCTTAATTGGATAGGAAATAATCATTTCTGATTTATTGATCACTTTAAATTTAACACATCCTAGCTATTTTGTTTTTAGACAATATTTATTATATTTCATAACCCATAATATTTTAGATGTATATTTGCATAACTAATTCATGCACCATTATAACAGTTTATGTCACATTTCTATGTGTTATTTTAACATTGTTGTGCTAGTATTTTATCTCATCCACTTGATTGTACTATGGTGTTGTCTTTTTTTGGTAGAGATCATTTTTTGCTGGTCATTGACTGAATAAATTATTATTATTTATTGTCAGGGCTATAAGTACACAACACATTCAGAACTCGTACCACCAGTTTGAATATACCAACTAGTGCAATTAAATTCCTATCTGTAGTTGGTTCTCTAGATGTGCAACTGGCAACAAACTAGTTTTATCTCATCAATTATTTGGTGGGAATTCCTTTCCCAAAAAATCCTTAAAGTTAGTATTCAACTTACAACCACAACTGAACCCAAAATTTCAGTTTCTGAGCAAGGCAGTGCTTTGTGCCCAATTTTATGACATTTTAGCCACATTGTTAAGTGAATCACTGCTTAACTTTTCATGATGTCAGGATTGCCTAATACAGGTAGTCGTATGTGTTATTGATGTTAGAACAGTTGTCTCCCCTAACCTTAAGAAAGCATAGGTTTCAGGGTAATAATGGGGCTAATAATAAGATTAATAATGGAACCAGCACAACGATAAAATAATCTGGAAGATCCAATAACTGATTCAAATCTAAATTCAAGTTGCTTTTATTAGATATGAGCAAGATGGGAATCAGTAATCTAAGCATAATCTTACTGATTTTGCTTTTGTGCAGTTGGTATTGTAATAAAAATGCTGACAAAAATGTAAATTTGTTTTATGGATTGTTATAGAAGAAAATAGGTAATCTGTCCAAATATTCAAGTTCACATTTTATAATATATAAATTAATTATCAGCAAGTCTTTTTT